TTTTTTTTTTTTTTGGGGGGGGGGGCATATGATACTATTTTCAGTTCTATAAGGGCCAGGCCCCCCTTGACTCCCTCTTCGTTTGTCTATGGCAAGGGAGTTGAGCCATAAGCCATTGAAGTCGAAGATGCCCAGACTGAAGACCCTTAGCATCTGACCACGGAAGAAAATGAAACGCAGTTACTAAAAATATCCCTCTGTACTGAAAATCTTGAAAATAGATAGAAATTTTCCAAGAAGCATACTTCTTTGAAAATTTAAGAAGAATTCTACAGTGCCCCAGCGTGTTTCTGAAAATCTATTCACCTTTTGCGAAATTTTTAGGGTAAATTTTTCACTTTTTCTTACGAAACAAGGGTTGCATGTGAATTCGTAGTGGTTTTTCACGGGTATCACGGGCCCCGTTACCAGGGACCCAGTATTCCCCCCCTTGTGGCGGGCCTGCGTGGTTATGGATTTACACCATCGAAAAGAAAGTTGAAATCTTTTCTTTAGGAAAAACCAATTTTCCAGAGAGAAATTAGAGTAAGCGCTGGTTTGTCACTGACATATCAAGGCTGAGTTTTTTCATAATACCAAGGATTTTTTTTTTTTTTTCAAGTAAGTCACCATCAATTTCAGAAAGAATTTTCAAATCCTGGTAAGCACTATTATTTAGATGTTGCCAAGATCGAAGATTGTTCAAAAGTTTCTTTCGACAGGAATAGTGCTACTGTTTCTCAGAATATTTGAGGTACCTGCAACTTTTAGATTGGGCACTGGCATTGTCTTAAAATTATAGCGCATCAAAAAATGTCAGTTACGCTCATGCAACTGGGAAACATGATTTTTGGTTTGCTGACAACATTTTTGATCTGGAATTCTTTTTCCTTGTAATTTCGAAGATATGTAATTAATATTCTACATATAAATACAAGTTGATTCTAAAAAAAAAAAAAAAAAAAAAAAAAAAAAATTGAAACCCCACAGTCAAGATTCATGTTTTTTTTTGTTTTTTTTTTTTCAATTTCATTATCAATGTAAACAATTTCAGAATATAGAAATGAAACAGAATCTGTTAACTTGCAATCAAAAATTGAAGTAGATATATCAAAACAAATCAATCACATATGCATCAATCCTGTCAAGAAGTTGGATGCTAACTGGGCAGAAATCAATGAAACTATCGTCTTTGACTAGTCTGTAAAAATTGTTCCTCCCAATCTGCAGATGTCCTGTCAGTGTGTCAGCCGTGAAAAATGTTTTGTTAAAAAAAGTGCGGCAACATTGAGAGAATTTCACAGACCACTATCTTTGAGCTGGTGAACGAAAGCTATGACCATGGACATACTTATGTCCATAAATGGATCATGCAACTTTTGAACTTAAGTGAGCTTTTCTGCTATTCGTTTGAATTCATATTTGGTACAAAGTTTTTTTTTAAATTTAGATAGGGTTATTAGGTAGGGTATTCTCCGGTTCCCATTCCCTCCCATTCTCTTAACCCTCCTTTCTTCATCCATTTTGTCACACATTACTTTGAACCCCTTTCTAATTGCCTCGTACACTTTCCTATTACTAAGATCTCTTTTGTTCTCGACCCCTTCCAATTTTTCCTCGATCCTGTTTCTTTCCTCGATGAATTTTGTACATTCCCAGACTACATGATCTACACTTTCCTCAACTTGGCACTCTTGGCAATTTTCCGAATCCTCCTTCCCATGCTCAAACAAATGTTTTCCCACGCCTATATGCCCGGTTACATACCCCACTATCCATCTATCCACAATCCTTTTTTCTTTCGCCCATTCTCTTACGCTGGTCACTTTCTCTTTCAAACTGGAGGAGATGGGGACAGAGAGAATCTCGTTGATCCTTTCGTGCGCGTCGCCAATGTGAGGCCGAGGCATTTGGATACCCGAAAAAAGCCAAAGTTACTCTTGCCGTTCACCCGCGCTGACAAAAAAAAAAAAAAGGAAAGAAAAAAATCCTTATAGATGAGATGGGGACAGAGGGAATCTCGTCGACCCGTTCGTACGCGTCGCCACTTTGAAGCCGACGCATTTGGGTACCCAAAAAAAGCCAAAGTTACTCCTGCCGTTCACCCGCGCTGACAAAAAAAAAAAAAAAAAAAAAACCTTATAGATGAGATGGGGACAGAGGGAATCTCGTCGACCCGTTCGTACGCGTCGCCACTTTGAAGCCGACGCATTTGGGTACCCAAAAAAAGCCAAAGTTACTCCTGCCGTTCACCCGCGCTGAAAAAAAAAAAAAAAAAAAAATCCTTGGAGAGGAGATGGGGACAGAGGGAATCTCGTCGATCCGTTCGTGCGCGTCGCTAATATGAAGCCGAGGCATTTGGATACCCGAAAAAAGCCAAAGTTACTCCTGCCGTTCAAGGTGTCCTAATAACTAAAAGTTAATTTTTGACAATATTTTTTTCCTTTCTACATCTTCATACTAATTTAAAAAGTTATACAAGGATGATTTGGATTGCATTTTACAAAAAGGAACGAAGAGCATTCCAATGTTGCTAGGATTGTACAACTTACATTCTTTTAAATAAAATTCCCTACTGAAATCATGCAAAAAATTAAATTTACAGAAGTAATTTTCGTCTTAATTTATAGTTTATTAGGAGTGAAGATAAAACTTGTTTAGATAATCAGTTTACATATGCAAAGTAAAAAGTTGCTCAGTCTTAGCAACATTGGAATGCTCTTGGTTCCTTTTTGCAAAATGCATTCCATTTAACGTACATGGTAAACTTGAAAAAGCTCAGACAGACAATTGGCGATTTTGCGTTGAAATTCAATTTAAAAATGATATTCTCATTACAGAGGGAAAAAGCTCATTTGGTCACGAATTTTCCCTTAGAGAGATATGCTGTTTGTTGCAACACTTATTACGATCAGTCAGGAGGGAAATCGTGAACGTACTTTAGAACTGGTTGGTTCCATCATCAGCACATCGTAGCATCCTGATTTTCTGTTCCCAAGCTCGTAAATGTCATTGAAACCAGTCTGAGGTTTTGAGCAAACAAACTTACCACCATCTCATGAGGAAATGATAAGACATGAGAATTTCTGTTTTATGAATTTGATCAGAATACACAGTGGCGAAATCACCAACTCTATAAAGACGATTTCCTCCTATTAAAAAGGGTTGTTTCCATTATTCGTTCCAATATCTTCTCCTTCCTCCTCAGGATCTTCAGATTTCAAAATTGGTGAAGAATCTTCTGAAGCTATTTCCCTGCAAATAAAATGCTAAATTAATACAAATTCCTTCACAATTTTGATAAACTTGCATTAGAATAGATCGAAACCCGTACACAAAAAATTGAATCACTGCAAATACCCAAGTAGTGATCGCGATATGTTGCAAATTGATCGAAGAGTGTATTGCAAGTTTATCGACAGCGATTTATTGCAATATCATAGGATAAAAACTTGGGTAAATTACGATTTCATCACTTAAATTTGCAATAAAATCGCTATTTTATTGATGGCGATTAATGGCAATATTATTGGACAAAAAATTGTGATAAACTGAAATCAGATTTCGATTTTATCAAACGCAATTTTATAGAGATAAAATTGCAACAGGATCGAAGATAATCGCTCAGATGTTGATGATCCTAGAAATTTTATCGCCAAAAAATCATAAAAAAAAATCGCATCTTAATTTGAAAATATCACGATTTTTCCGTTAGAAAATGCTACTTTGATAGACTACGCTTATCAAGGCTATTGACAGAAAGAGAACACTCAGAAATCAGTCACCTCATGGACAATATTTCTGTTCCTCCTAGCACTTATTTAAAATATAAATTTAACAAACGAAATGCTGTTGTGATGGCTCCATCTGAAATTTTGATGATTCCGGTCTTAGATGAAAGCTGACATCCTTCTGTTCCTAGATTCTGTGTAATGTAAAATAACTGAGATAAAGGTCTAGTGCAAGCTATCTGAGGTGTCATAGGAAATAGTGAGCGGTGCTGAGAAAAAATGAGCCTTCAAAGCTTTCCAAATCAAATGGCAAACTAGGAAATTCTCATTTGTTCATTCATCTTTTGATCTCTTGTCGTTTTCCTCAATAATTGTAGAAACAGTGGCGTTAATGAGTGAATGAAAGCTATCACATGTTAAAAAGCTAAACACAACATAAACCTCAAATACAAAACAAAGCAATATGCTGCAAAATTGACGAAAGATTAAAAAATCCCGGTGTTAAAACAAGGCACAGAGCAGTGCGCATACTTCTTGAATGTTAATTTGTACATAAATACCATGGATTTGAGGAGAGGAAATGCATTGAGAGTTGACAAATTACATGGAAGATAATGAGAAAATTGAACTTCAAACTCCGATTTTGAGTGAAACTTGACTCCTTGATAATTTGGAGTTAGGATAATGCGAGATTTCCTGTATTGTAAATCCTAGATATTGTAAAGGTAATATTAGTTCACTTGTTTCCAATAGTGCTATAGTGAATAAAAAAATGTCAATAAAAGACAACACTCTTCACGCAGGAGACTTCTGAAAAGTTAAAGGATTAGAGGAGAACAGCTATTGAGGGATTTTTTATTTGACCAAATTATTCTTATGTGAAATTGTTCACAAAGGATCAAATATATATTTTAGTAATTAGTAGAAGTGTAAGGATTTCCTAAATGTTCCCACAAATTCCCTAACTTTTCCTGGTTTGAGACTGTCGACAACCCTGGAGAATGTACAACAATCTACTTAAGCGATGAAAAATAAAAAATAAAAGCTATTCTTTGGCATAAAATCAAACACATCACCCACCAGAAGCAGCCCAAGAGCGGACGATCACAGACTTTAACCACGGAATAGAATTCCGTTAAAACCGTTCACAGGTCATGCATTTGTAAGGAGCCCTTGTTTTAACCTGGCCCTCTCCATTTCTCGTTGCTTGACTGACGTATAGGCAGCGCTCCCAAAAAGCACCACCCAATTCGATATCCACCACAGCCATGGTTTCTTATCCTCAAAAAAGGATGCCAGAACTGTTTGACAACAGGCTTTTGCAGTACCAGACACATTATGGGTTAGAGGAGAGGTAACCTGCAAACAAGACATATTTTATCAAACAATTATTTAAACCTAAAAACCAGTCATAAGGTAGTTGGTGGGTTAGATTCATTTTTCTGGATTTTTTAAAATTAGTACGTTAGTTTTTTAAAGCTACCAAATAAAAAAAAATAACAAGAAACGATCAGGAAAGAAAATACGATGGCAAGTATAAAGTGCCACAAAGATACTTTATGCAGGAGACTTGAATTCAAAAATGACAGAAGCAATGGTGATCAATGTAAACATACTTCATGAAACGATTTGCAAAGTGGTTTGAGTATTATGAATCTAGGGATAATATGGACAAGAAAATCATAAAATGTTCCTGTGATTTTGGAAAAAAAAAAAAAACGCTAAAAGCTCAATCACAAAAGCTTCCACACAAAGAAGCTTCAGATTCAAAAATTAAGACAAAAAATGAGCTCCTGTGTTCAATTTTTCCACGAAGTACATCTTAGGAAGGATTTTATTCAGAATGACTCATATCCTACTTTCTGAGAGAAACTACTTGATTCCTTTATCCAGGATCAATCAGAATTCTCTGCAGCTTTTGATAACCAACAAGAAGTACTTACAAGGACTTTTAAAGAAGCTCACTGTAATTAGGGAAATCAAGAATCAAAGACTTCCGAAAGACTTCAAAGACTTCCGAAAAAATGTTTAAGTATTTATCAACCAATTTCAGAGGACTTTAAAACGAATCAGCCCAATGGCAAATCCAAAAAAAAGAGATACATTAAATTGTCTTTTAGGTTGACTTAAACATGGAGGTTTTTATAATTTAAACTATCATTTTCTGCTGCTTAGTCATATGGAGAGGTAAGAGTATGATTTATGGACAGCGCCATTTGACATATGAGGGACTTGGAGGACAAAAGCGCACAAGTTGACGGTGAAGCTACCAGACCACATATCTCGGTTTTGCAACGTCACAGACTTCCTGACATACTTATTTTTTAAATGGAAAACTACTCAATGATATCGATTTGTTCTCCTTCAAAAAAATAAAATGACAGCAGAGATTTTCAGACATCGCAAACGAGATATGTGGTCTAGTAGTTTCAGCGTCAAAGTGCAGTTTTTGAAAAAATTGAGATATTAATGATTTCAAGTAAAACTAGTCTTGATACATAATCTGCGAAAAATCCGCTCCATAATTCTGATTTTTAAGGATCCATGTAATTTTAAAACTGCAAACACGTATTTCTTGAAAGCAAAACCTCCACATATGTGCCTTGTCCTCCAAGCCTTTCATGTGAAAGTTTACAAAACAAGAAAGAGAAAATTAATCTCCAGGATGGTCAGAAATGAAAGAACCGGACACCAGAACCAGTTTAAGATTCAAGTTTGAGAATTTTCTCAAATTTAAGGATATTCCAGGACTTGATAAGGTGCCTTGAACTCATCATAAGACCCATCAATTATTATTAGAGTCAAAGAATAACATGATCCATGAGGAATTTTTCCGTAACTATTTGGAAATAACAGATAAACCTACTTTTTACCTTGATTTGAAGAGCAGTCGCGTATCCAATGCTAAAGCCACATGCACCACCAAGGCAGAGCAATAGCCAAAACTGGGCGTCTGCGAGATGAGGGTTGTGCATTAAAACCGATAAATCGTTTGTGAAGAGGAAGAGTGGTAAGAAAAGGAAGCACGAGTAAATATTATTGTAGTAAGATAGTAACCAAATGTGATTCTCTACGAATGGTAGTGCTTTTTTGGTTTGAATCGTAAATAAGGCAAGAGACAAAGATCCCAACACGCCATATATCGTTCCAAGTAGCGAAAATGATTCTGAAAATAAGGAAGATAATGTTAGATTTTCGTTAAGAAAATAAATCATTTAAAAAAAGCTGTTTTATTTTTATCCAAATACCTCCTGCTAATGTACGAAAACACTGCAGCCACTGTTCAATAAAGTCAAGATAATCTCGATACACTACCATCTGCAAAACAAATCATCCTTCCCCCATAAAATAATGTAACTAAATTTCGAAATTGGCAAATTTTCCCTCAAAAATTTCATTTTTACACTGAGAATCTTGAGCATTTCTAACTGAAAATTTTACAGATTTTTCTTCTGATCTCAAGCAGAGAACAGACACATTTTGAACAAAAATTGCACAGGTGCATTCTTGTAAAAAATTAAATTGCTTGTGTTAATTTTGCAACCTTGGAATGGAGTTACGTTCCCTTAACTGGGGAATGCCGAATTGAGGTCAAAGATTGTCAACAGTTGACCACAGAGCCAGGCATCAGAGTTCTTTGTTGATGACATTAAAATACTGATACATATCAAGCTATAAAAAGTGCTTGGAAAAAGGAGGAAGCTGCGTGGAAAAGAGAAGATGGGAGCTTGCTTATTTGAGTAAAATTAAATTCACAGTTACTGCGTGTACTTAAGATTCATCAACTACGCCTTGATATCAAATCTGTGACAAGAGGAGATGAGTGTGGAAAAAGTTGAGTAGGTACCTCAGCAACCAAGTCAAACTTAAAAAACTATAGCTCCTTTTTGAAAATGAAAGCATCACCAGTAAAATACTTTTTACAGTGTTACTCTATATATAGTAAAATATGAAGAGAAAAATAGCATATCTTAAAGTTTAAACTCATTTTCCTAAAAATAAAAAAAATACTACCTTCTTTTACTGGATTCTTCCATTGAAAACAAGAATCCTAAAAAAGTTATGCAAAAGAGTGGACGAAATTTTAAAACATAGGAAAGGAGAAATAATTTTACCTGTAAAACTTTCTTCAGAAACACCAAGGAGGAATCCAGAAATAATAATAAAACAACAAAAGATAGCCGCTAAGGAAGTAGTTTGTCCTGGAAGAGGAGAAAAATCCTATGTAAGAAAACATTTTAGGGGAAACAAAGAAAATTCACTACACAAAGTTGATACAGTGATGGATTTTTAGGTTGAGGATTCTGCGACAACCACTGCCTAAACACCAATAATTGGTTGATTGTAATAATGATACAATATTTTTCCTTTCATTGTAAACAAATATTTTCAGCCATCTATGTAAGTTGATTGTAAGACCAATGTAAAGATTGACTGGTACCATGGATGAATTACGGCCAACAGGTGCCAAACGGCTGAATAAATAAATAATTGCAAAACTGATCACACTTGAACTTTCTAATTATTCCAAAGTCCTTGAAAGCGTTTCCCTCATAAAGTAGTCATTGAAAAAAACTTTAAAAACGCTTTGTACTCAAAGAGTCATTACTTTGGTTAAAACCAAAGCCGGATTTAGCTTTTGGCCTCCTAAAAAAAAAAAATTATTGTCTGGTGCAAAAAAAAGAAAAGAAAAATGCAGCACCCCTCCCCTTCCCTGAATACGCCTCTATGTGGATCAGTTCTTACACAAATTCTGCACCACTAGGGTACGTCTTTGTATAATTTCAGATACAGAGTCAAAGAAAAGCTCAGCACACATGCAGTTGATTGATAAACAAGTTTTTTTTTTTTTTTTTTTTTTTTTTTTTTTTTTTTTTTTTTTTATCAGAATTGCACCACTATTCCAAAATATATGTTTATAGAACAAAATGAAAAAGAGCTGCCTTACCTAATATGTAGTAGGTTAAAATGACATTGAATACTGTAGTTAAGGATCTACCAATGTAATAGAAGGTAACACCGACATGTTTTAAGCACAAATTATTGAACGAAATCATGAGCATGAATAAAATAGATAGTGGAAGCATCTGGAAAAATTAAAAATGAAAAGAAATAATTACTTAATATTCTCATGCTAAAGTTTATGATGTTGAAACTAAGACGCCTTGTTCTCATAAGCATCTATGGAACACTTGAGGCCAATTCAGTGAAACAGGCATTTTTTTTAGTTTCAAAGTGACTGTTTTGATAGAATATCCTCGGACAAAATAAAAAAGACCATGCATCTTTTACGGCATATTAAGTTTTTAACAGCAGAGGGTCCAAGATACATAAAATAGGTGTCCTTCAAACTAGCTGTAAGGGCAAGCTTTTGCACATTGAGCAGTGGTTCCCACGCAGCAACAACCGAAAATAACGTTACAAAAAACTTTGCCTCAGAATTACCTAATGTGGACCATAATGTGACAATGCCTTCGCAACTGCTTCTGGCAACCACTTGCCAGAAAGGATACAACATCAACACGAGAAAATTTACACTGGATTCCTTCACTAAATCAAATAATCGTGTTTCCAAAATTTAAACTGAAGTTTAGAAAAAAAAAAATAATAAAATCTGTCCAAATGCAACGTTTTTGGTTGCTATTTTACCTGTGACATTGCCCTTCTTTCAAATGAAAAAATTCTGCTCATAGAATTTTGCGCCTAAAAGCAATGAGGAACTTAACCTCTGAATATGGCGATGCCAACAAAATATGTACATACCTGACACACTGTTTTTATGAAATAGACTGAAATTTAAATAGTTTGAAAACTAAATGCAAAGACCTCAACTTTAAAATTAAGGATTTCCAAACATGCAAAAATTCGTTTTTATTTCATATGATGTTCTTAAAAATTTCTTGAACACATCGAGCTTCAAAAATCTAACTTACAGTGTGACATTTACAAGAGAAAAAGCCTGAAAAGTGCATTTTTTGGCACTTTAGCACTTATCGTTCTGTAATTGACACCAGACTTATGATCAAAAAGGCTTTTCTTTCCTTATCAACATGGCACATGAGACAAATGTTACATGCCTTCACATTCCTGCATTTGAATAAAATGACAGAAAAAATAGTGTATTCAACTTCTCAACAACAGGCTCATTTGTAGATCAGATCAGGGGTGCAAAAGCTTTCGAGCTTCCATATTTTCACGCGCCCGCCTGTCAGTTTTCCACAAAATTTCCTACAAATCTATAATAGATGACCTTTTTCTTCTATTTCCCTTTGATTTTTGACTTCTCATCCTTTAAAATCTTGCCTCCTTCCACAGTGTTGGGGCTTTTCCACATTTTCACATGCCCACCCATTTTCTGCACTCCTGGATCAGACAGTGACGGTTTCACTTGTCCGGGAGAAAATCACAACAACAACCGGAGAACTCAACAACAGGGCTGAAAATATTACAGAAAATGCGTGTTGTATTTACTCCAGTAGTTTTACTCTAGCTCCCTCTTGATCCATTTTTATGGTCTCATCTTTGAAGAAATCATTTGTCATTAAAAGTAGAGCGTGTTTCAGTCTACATACTTGGTAAAAAGCTCACTACAGCTCATTTTTTCATCTTGATACTTGAGTTTGAAGTTTATTTGTGTTGTAAGCTTCTAGGGAACTTTTCATAGCTGTAAACAAAGGTACAATTTGTAAAATTGCAAAATATAGACCCTTGACTCCCTTACAGATCCATCATTTTCAATGATATGATCCACTGAGAAATAAAAAAGCACACAGCATATACTTACTTTCTTAATAACTGACGATTTCCAAGGGGATCCTTGAGGTACGTTCAAAACTTGAGGAAAGGCTCTTGAGAAAAGGATGATGATGTAGCAAATCACACTTGTGGTCACGCATTGGAACCAGGTAATGAAGAATGGTGCATCCAAGTTGATAATATCGCTGCTCAGAAGAGTTTTATTCACGAACACAGTTGTGATAGAAACAACCCTGCGATGAAGACCAAATTGAGAATTTAGTCACAAAGGAAACTAATCAAACTAAAATCAAACACAGGCGCACTTCTTCCCGAGAGAGTACCAAAGTTCAATAGACCCACAAGAGAAGGTACGAATTTGAGAATTATGATAAATGTTTTGTAATGTATGTAAGTACACAGGAACAGGCTGGCACTGAGAATGTGACTGCATATACGAGCCCATCAGAGTTCATGTCAGCCCATTTTAGTTTCTTTCTTATTTTCTGGCATTCTAGTTTCCATGTGAACGAACAGGTCAAACCTGCCCCAAATAACCTTAAATATAGGCCAGTCGACCAGGATCTTCCCCAGTATTCCCGTCTGCCTGTCCATCCTTATGTGTGTATACTTCATATAAATTTGTTTTGTGCCCATAGTTCCAAGTTTACCTACTGATGGCTTTAGAGGGCTTAAATAAGCCTTCATTTTTATGTCTTTTACTGGTTATGTTCGTGTGGAAACAAATCTCCGCACACTCACAAGCAGGGCCAGATTTAGGGGAATGCTGACAGTACCAATGACCAGGCGGCAAACTTTGAATGAAGTATCAGTTCTTTATCTTTCAAAAAGAGAGGAGAAAGAAAACAAGAGTGAGAGTGGAAGACAAAATGAGGGAAAAACTATTGGAACAATATGAAGTGGACCAAAGTTTGGTCAACCTGCACGGCAGCAGCAGCACAGCACTGACCTCCACTTCGAATCTCTTCTATCTCCGGGTGAGTCATCTCATCACTCCTTTCTAAAAATCATGGCAACTTCAGGACGACAAGTTTGCCCTCTACATGAGTAATTACATGGGGGAACTTTTTACACTATGGAGCAAGTTCACAACCATTGAGGACATCTCAATGGCAGGAGAGGCTTGTGAGTGTTGCCATTACATCCATTGAAACTTTTCTGCACAAATGCGCAATTCCTTCTCACAGACTCAGAATACAATTGAACTTTAATCGTATTTCCGAAACTTATAGTTTGTACCCATTGAATTGCTATGAGGTATTACACCGTATACCGGGGGGGGCCAAAATATTTTTGGCACCGGGTGGCAGAAACCTAAGTCTGGCTCTGCGCACAAGGCATCATAACTTGGAGCTGTGCAAGTAGTAAAATTCAAAAAAAGAAAAGCTTCTGGAAAATACCCTACTAAAAGTTAAGGTCCTACTGAAAATTATCGCTGAAGGAAAAAGATTGATCGCTTACACTTACCAATAAATTGCTATGACACTAGCAATTCGCACATACTCTCCGAGAAGCCCCCTGTCAACACTCATTTTCTATGTGAGTATATAGGGCAGAAAAGGACTGGACTAGACTGCTGAAAGATTTGATAAATCAGGAGAAATATACAGTTTAGGAACGGAAGATCAGAAAAATGTGAACTGTAATAATTTCCGCTATTACTGAACGTGCAAACAAGGCACTCCTGTTATCATAACATTGGTACACGTTGGGCATTTTTGTTATCACTGGATTTACATAGAATCATACTTGAACACTTCGTGAGGGTAGTGAAAAATAATGGTGCGTTAAGTTTGTGACTGAAAAAACACGGCAAATTTAAGTAATTTGGACATGCCGGAGTAAAGGTAAAAGCACATGCGGCAGCGATTGAGAAGAAAAACACTGAAAATATTTGATTGGGATATGGAAAGTGGAAACAAAACAAAGATAGGGAAATGATAAGAGAGAGGATATCGTGGTATCGTTGCTGTTATCGCCTTTATCGCCGTCTTCCCTTACCTCTGACGTATCGTAATACAGGAAAATGATTGGTAGAGCGATGAGTGACGTACGTTGACCTCGACAGTGATTGGTCAGTCTCTGAAAACGTCATGACCTGTCGGCTTTTTGTCCGGCCATTGCTTCTTCTTCTTTTCATCTCTGTTTTGTCACCGTGGCCGTGTCGTTTTATGAACCTCTTCGTTTATTTTGGCCTACCTCTTCTCTTCTACCCTCCCCCCTCTCCACAAGGTTAATCTTACGTGCTACGGAATCAGGAATGGACGGCAGAAATGATAATGTTTCGTGAACGAAGTCGAAAGTTTTGAAGTCTTTTAAGTTGCGTCCTCCAATTTTCTTCAGCTCAGAGGAAATTCTTCGCTTTAACGCCTTTATTTATGTAATTTAGTTCTGTGTAGATTGCAATGTTTTGTGCACGATCCGTTCTCAACAGTGAATTTCTCCATCCTCTCTCGGGTTTCTCTCTGATTGAGGCATCCGCGACCTCAGAAATGGAGTACCTTCTGTTTTAGAAATGTTGTTATCATGAATAAGATTGTTTGATGTGTCTTCGCCCCGATTTCTTCTGGTGAGAATTGTAAATTTATTTTGTTTCTAGATTTACCCCATACCAGCATATTTGCAAGAATGAGTTCGACAAGTAGGTCTCCATAGATGTAGTTGATTACTCTGTATGGATTTTTATCAGAATCCCAGTCATGACTGTCTCTCCCACATATTATTCGTGTTTTAAATAATTTTAGGCATGTTTTGACAAATCTTTCAATAGTATGAAGACCTTCACCAATCAAAGGATTTGTGAAAATGAATTCATTTTCACATCGTATTTTTTTTGCCCAGTTACTTATAGGTTAATTTTTTCTATTGTTGAAAATTATTTACTGACATTGACATCTCAAACACTTACAGGGCTCTTACAAGTCTTAGACTGTGCCACCAATTAAACATAGCTGCACTACATGCAGTCTGTGAATTTATCCAAGAGCATACAGGCGGTAATTATGATCAATAAGGTTTAACTTTCCCTGTTGAACGTTTAATTTGCGCCGTGCCTGATATGGTTGTGAACTGCTGCCCACTGCAAGATTGAGTTATTGTTTTCATGCTAACTGTAGCGTCCAGCAGTTTTCTGAAAGATGGCATCTGAATATGGATCCACTGGCTTTATTTCATAATTTTCCCACCTTATTGAGGCTTAGATAATCCTCACATTTAAAGCCTTTTTGGTCTGAAATGCTAAAAATTAGTACTATTCACACTATGCCAGGGTTTACTTATCCTTGTATTAATTTGATAACTTTTTTCACGTAGCTATTGAAGCAGGCAACTGTTTTTATAAATACATGATGAACATACTCAACCTGAAACATTTACTTCCCTATGCTTTGCTTTAAGAGTCATTATAATTGATTTTATGATACTTACTTTTCTTCCACTGGCGTACTTCACTTTTTCCCAAGAAGTGTCTCTTTCCTTTGGTGTCACCTGTTCATTTCTGCCAGTGGGCCCACTAATACAAATTAGTTTCTAATTGGGCATATTTTAAGCATCAATACCTGCTCACAAATCCTATGCAAACTTGTAACTAGCAGAAAAAGAATTGTTGAGTAAAGCAGCCAATCATTATTCTTCGATCCGTGTTGCCTTTATACTTACTGAGAGTTTAATGAGTGATTGAAGTTTGCCTAGGATATATTCATGTAGCATATCATATTTTTCCTGACTGATAGTTTTTTTGTTGTTGTTGTTGTTGCAGTTTCACTGATGGCTCATGTCTCAACTCAAGGACATTTGTCACCCATGGTGTGCCCATTGGCCAAATTGGGCCGATCGGCCCCAACTTACGACCAAAAATATAATGGTCGTAATGTTTACCACGCTGGAGATAAGCTAGATCTGCCTATGCAACACTCTCCGTCCTCCCCACCTTCTTTTGTAAATAGATCCATATCAATCGGCAACTACACAGAGTCAACTAATCATTCGCTCCTGCATTACGATACACAGACGAATTTTGAAAGATCATCCCCATGCTTGGATCAAGGATATCACACTCTCATTTCATTTGCGTCACAATGTTGGCAAGATACTCCTTTCAAAGGCAAACGCGCTCAGTCCAAGAGCAATGCGTTTGACCGACTTCCAGATGAAGTTGTGCTCAAGATCTTTGCTTGGCTTTCAAGCAGCGATCTAAGCGTTTGCGCAAGGGTTTGCAAACGGTGGGAGATCCTAGCATGGGAACCATCACTGTGGCGCACAGTAATTTTGAAGGGAGAGGATGTAAGTGGCGATAGAGCCGTCAAAACAATTTTGAGACGGTTTACGCAGCCATATGTGCAGAGGCTGTATTTACGGGACGGTGCTCGGATAACTGACAAAGGATTACCCTCCTTGGTGCGTAGGTGGCCCAATTTAACGCATGTGCAACTGCAAGGATGTGTTGCCATAACGGACTCCTCTGTTTCGGAACTAGTTGCGAAGTGCCCCAATCTTCAGCATCTTGATCTAACAGGTTTGTTCATTTACTTACCTCTTTCAAAAGTATAAACACTTGAAATAGCTTCTAATGTAATGAAGGAATCAACCAAGAGTTTGGATGAGCAAAGCTAAAAAACTTCAATATTCCGACAATGAAAAAATTCTTTATTATCAGAAAATAGCCTTCACGATTTTTGCCTCAGATATAAAGTCATGCTCAAGATTTAAACAAATCTCACCTCCCTTAAAGTCTGTTTCTGATAATTTGCCCTTTTTGCTGCATGAGCATAGCACAGATATGATGCTCACTCAGCAAAAAAAGACCAGTTAGATGAAACAGGCTCTAACGCTTGGATGAAAACGAATTATTAAGTATAAGAAAGTTTTCCCTCTCAAAAATGAAATGATTCTAGGTAGTAGAAAACCCTACCAATGTACTAGCACTACCCTAACAACTTCAAAGTACCAAAGTAGTGCAGTAGTGTGCTTCAAAGTAGTGCAGCGTATGTATAGTATATAAAAACACTTTATTGAGTGAGCACCTCTACAAATTTCCTATTACTTACCAACAAGAAAAAAACACTAATATATGTGGTGCAAACTGTATGTACCAAGGTCCAGCCTTGCACTGGTACTCTTTTCTGCTCGAAATTTTGGACTCGAATTAAAATTTGTGAACTTTTTGGCCATGTTTTTTCCCTCAAATTAGTGTGGATCCTGCACTATTTTACCACCAGGTTTCCTATTGCATATGAATGGAATTGAACAAAACAGAACCGACATACATTCAGAGGAAAAATGAGGTTGGAATAATTTAAACTTTTGAACGATTTCATTACTTTATCAGGTTGATGAATATCAATGCATTGATCATTTTAACTTACTTAATGTGTCACATGTAAGTAGTCCTCTTCTGTTAATTCCAAGTTGGAATAAAATATTATTCAAAGCATTGATTTTAACCTCTCCTATTGAGTCTACAGGAATAAAACTTGAAACCTCTTTTCCTTGGTTCAATCTTAATGGTACATTGTATCTCTTTTTTCAGCCTTGGTTCTGTTGCAAGTTGAAATATTATATGAATGACTCAACAGAAAACCGATTTTTCTCATTTTCAATAATTTTGTCTTTCTGTTTTATTCAAAGGTTGTGCCCAATTGACATGCATCAATATAGAGCCCTCAAGGCGCCTTAGTCTAAACTATTTAGATTTGACAGACTGCTGTTTGATCGAGGACGAAAGTCTATGGCTCATAGTGAAAAATTGTCCTCAATTGGTGTATCTGTACCTGAGGAGGTGTGTCAAAATAACAGGTATGTTGAATGGAAGGAAAGGAGTGCCGTCATCTCATCCTGAGCAAATTTATCAGGAAAGAATTGCCTTGTAGTTTAAAAACAGTTGTATTAACAGTTAACCCTCTATAGCATGAATTCATTTTGGGTTTTTAATTTTAAAGGACACAAATCTATGATGTAGCTTTTGTTAAAACATAAGATCATTAATTTCCTCCTTAAAATTTCAACATTTTGATATGTAGTCATTTTGTCAACATAAGTAAATGTTGAAAAGATTTGCAATATCTTGCCACACAAAAATAGTTTAATGAGTATTTGAACACACAAAAGATGTGTCATTACAGTGCATGCTATGCCATAGAGAGTTAAGTTTCCTGATATATGGCATTGTAGCAGGTACTGTTTTGGCAGTTGTTCGAAAATATAGTGATATTGTACAGCGAAAGGATAAAGCTTGTTTTGTAAATAAATCGCTTACCTATTTTTAAATTCAGATTAAAATCAGAGTGCCTACATTTCTGGGAAACCTGGAAAATAGAATTCCATCATGAAATTCCAGGGAAAAATCTGGGAACTTCATTGAAAAGTCTAGAAATCTGTGAAATCTTGTTTGAAATCTGAAGAAACCAATGCGCCATCTGCACAATCAAAGTGTCAGCCTGACTCTCAATGCCCTGAGTTGCACACTGTAAAGATAATGGAAGAGTAATGAAGTCCAACAAAGAATTGCAATTTTTCATTAACTGAACAATTAATTCCTGAAGAGAAAAGGTTTACACATTTCTACCTTTTGTATTGAAAGCAACAATATAAAAACTGTAGACTGGTGGTGGCCTATGAAAAAACGTAATACACATGGAGCAGTTATTCGATAGATGGACGTGGAACAGTCCAATTGCTTTTCTTGTTTTAACCTCAATAACATGGGATCTTACAAGAGTTTTTACAATAAATGATTTAGCATTGAAATTGTCATCATAATGGCATTTGAAGAATGATTAGGTTTCATAACTTGACACAGATTTTCAAACAGTTGGTTTTGAATTTGATATAAGTCCTCATTCAGCAACAGTCCCCTAAAAAATCGTGGGAACCGACTAGCCTTGTCTTAACCCAGACAGTTGCACCTGGTGCGTTACAGAATTCACCATTGACTTAGCATAGCATCACCCTATGTATAGTCTCTCGAACTGTTGATCGAAAGTAATGCCAAAACTTTTTCAGTTCTAAGCTCGTAAATTCTCATTGTGAAAAGTTAGAGAATTTCGATAAATTGGGTCAGGAAAAATCTGGACAAGTATAGGAATTTTTACACTCTGTCAAATCTCTTTGTTTTTAAGTATTCAATTTCCAACCTTGTCTCTTGCATTGAAGACACCAGGTTGTTTGCCCTTCGATTCCAGCTATGCACTGATAAATTGGACAGATCCCATTGGAATACAATCCAGATATTATAAGAAGTGCCTAACTTAATTTATGGATCCTCCCCAACAACTTGGTGTGAAAAAAAAAAGTTCATTCAAAGGTAAATGAACGTATTTGCTGCACAGCATCGCAGACATGGCAATTAACCAAAATAATTATTAAAGCTTCTCATGTTTTCTTCTGTTGCATTCAAATGAAAGTTCAAAACGAAGCCATAGAACAACCATGACAGCTGTATCTTCACTCAGTTGAAGATTATCACCAGAACTGTTGAAATACCCCAAAGCCCGTTTATAAAAAGTTTTTGTAACCTCTCTTTTTGCACTTGAAGCCTTCATGAACCATTTGGACGTATTTCTGCCAAACGGAACTATGTGCATAATGTCGTGAGCCCTGTTACGCATATATCATCATGGGTCTCAGGGCTCATGTCTCAATGCACATAGTTCCGTTTGGCAGAAATACGTCCATTTGATGGTTGTTGCTTTTAAAATCTGTCGATAAAATATTAATTTGTTTGTTTTTTTTTTGTTTTTTTTCAGATTGTGGAATTAAACATGTGCCAATATTTTGCTCCGTTCTCCGAGAACTGAGCGTTTCAGACTGCAACAAAGTCACTGATCTGGGACTGTATGAATTAGCTAAATTAGGCTCTACTTTAAGATATCTGTCAGTGGCAAAGTGCGACCAGGTTTGTAACTTGTTTTATTACATTGCCCTTTTTTTTTTTTTTTTTTTTTCTTTTCTTTTTTTCTCTTTCCCCCTTCAAGAAAATCACAATTTTTCCATCAAAATTTCTCAACCTGGTTAAGAAAGAAATCCTCTGCCAACTCCTTTGGGAACTAAAGATTAGAATTCAGGAAAATTCATCATTTTCAAAACGTTCTGCACTAAAAATGAAAAGCGTAGGCAAATAAAAATTAGGGTAATTTTTCAGCACCTGTCACCTCCGCAAAAAAGTAAGAAGTAAGCACTAGTAAGTTTCCTTTCTCAGAAATTTAAAAATCTATCCAACCTTTAATAGAGACTCGGAAATCGCAACAAAGAGAGTCCATTAGTATTGTTTTAAAGTCTTTGAAGGGAAAAAAATAACAATAGGGAAGCACTCAAAAGAACTGAAACTTCTAGATCGCCAAGAATTCCGTGACTCTTCGCATGTGTTGTACCAGTTCGAAGTTTCCGTAACTTCAAATAATCACTTTCCTTGCCTTTTTCCTGTCACATATTATCTTTTCTTGATCGTTTTTCAGTTTCCAAATCTAGACTAGGAGGCAAGAGAAGTGCCCAAGACATCGGTCTTGTGTCCCAAATACCAGGACAAATCTTTTCTGGAAAAAGAATAATAATTATGTGCTGTCTTTCCATTTTCCCCATACTCCTTCACACAAAGACTTGTGCTTCAATTTTATCATCCTCTCTATTCGAATAAAGTCATTTGTAAGACGTCCGATGGAAAGGGTAAGGAAGGGGAGTTAGACGGTTGATGGGCAGGAGTGAGGAAGGGGAGTTCAAAGGTCAGAGTTTTAATAAAGTGAGTCTTTACTTTCAGAGGCCTTTGTTTAGTCATGGACAGCTCTATGTGACCCTGTCAAGGTCAACTTCAAAAAAAGGAATCAAAATTCAGAGTAAAGAAAAAGTCATTAAGAATATTGTTTGTCAGGAAATTTTTCTTTGAAACATTGTTTCGTTAGGTATTCAATAGAAATTATTTGCCCATCAACTGGCAACGGGCGATTTCGACGATTTCGCTGGCCAGGGGGCGCAGCCCCCTTGTTTTCTATACATCAGCGTTTGGATTTTCATTTAAACACCTGCATTTAAAGTATGCTTCTTTTGGACCCTGTCATTTTTTCTAGAAAGTAGTTACCCTGTCAATGTTTACCCAGAAGTGGTTTTTTTTTTATAGGTATATATATTTTTTTAAAGAAATTGTTCAAAACTAACCTTTAATACAGATGCATTTTAACAAATAATTTATGGTTAACGGAACTATAGACATCGAGGGCTAACAAACAATACCGCATAAGTAACTATTTTGGCAAAAATGAGTCAGTGACTTTGCCACATTTAACTGACTATTTTGGCAAAAATGAGTCAGCGACTTTGCCATATTTTATACCTAGTATAAAGTACGCAAGCTGATGATTTTAGTTATTTTCAAATTCTGTAGGGGAGTGCTGCCAAGACACTGTAATGTGTGGAAGAACTGCATATCTAACCTTAAAATTACAAAAATGGTGAGGGTGTCTCTTCGTTTTGTAAAATGGTCAGTCTGCAGATAGGCAATATTGTTCACCAGCTATCGACATGCCTTTTCTGCAACATCTCATGTAAAACGTGGCAGACACTAAGATCAGAATATTATGTTCCTGGTATATATTTCAAATTGCTTGCTTGCAAAAAAAAAAAAACAAATTTTACACAGTTGCAACTCAAGTTTTGGCGTATTGCGATAAAATAATTTTTCTTCACAAGTTAAGAAATACTGCATGATAAAAAGGAGATAAAAGTCGAGCAATGTCACACTCGATTTATTTGAGGAATGTTCATTAGTTTTCAATTGTGGATTTAAAATGTGAAGTATGAAAGTTTATATAATTCTTAACCTGTGCCATAATCCATAGTAATCCTCTTTTTCTCACCCTATGAACAAACATCCTTTGTGAAGCATAAACCTCATAGTGAATCATCTTTGTTTTAGGTGAGCGATGTTGGTCTCAAGGTGGTCGCCAGACGCTGCTACAGACTGCGCTACCTCAATGTACGAGGCTGCGAAGCCGTGAGCGATGATGCAATCACTGTCTTGGCCAGATGGTGCCCGCGGCTGCGCGCATTAGATCTTGGAAAGTGTGATGTTAGCGATGCTGGTCTCCATGCCTTGGCGGAGTGCTGCCCGAACTTGAAGAAGCTGAGTCTGCGGAGCTGCGATCTCATCACGGACATAGGGGTGCAATATATCGCGTTTTTCTGCCGGGGTCTCCAACAACTGAACATTCAAGACTGTCAAATCACTGTTGAAGGTTATCGTGCCGTCAAAAAGTATTGCAAGCGATGCATCATAGAGCATACCAATCCAGGATTCTTCTAGAGTTCAAACAAAGGTCTGTTTTGGGAATGTCTCGAAAATTTTAAGTGTTGAAGCTGACAAACCAAGTTTTTTGCCAATGATGTATGAAGTTTTTAGCTTGGCAGTAATAAGTTGTGCCTAAGAATGTTGCATTATTTTTCTCTTTTACTGACAACTACCTTTCCGTCCTTGCCAAAATCTGGAGCTATTTTAGTCATCTCCTAAAACGTACAAAAATGTCACCACAAGATGCTCAATTTGTTGCAACTTTCCATGATAAACAAAGCGATTGAGTCTTGTGATGGAATAACACTAAGTATTTGTCCAAAAGTCTCACCTAGCCATTCCTTTAAGGCTTACCAGCCTTATTCTCTGTATTATTTCGTAACTGCTCAAGTATTTCCCACCTGCAGTTCAATTTGCAAAAGATGACCGAAATAGATTCCTGTTTCAGCTGTGTAATGCTTGATGTGTCAATCTGTCAATAAAAAGTTAACAAACCTATTTGCCACTGCGCAATAAACTCATAGCTATTGATAAGTGGAGGGTTTATCACCTGGTGATCAGGGCAGGGTTAGAAAGCAACTGTTGTCGATTGATTTAGGAATGCCGTAAGTTTGAAATCAAGGTAAATTTCATGAAATTTGAAATACTTCATCTTCTTTTTCACTTATTTGCGTTTTTCTCTCTCCCCCTCCTCCCCTCAGCTTTATCATTGCCTTTCTTTCTCACTGCTCCTCTGAGTGTACCAAATGTTTTTGCGTTTTGTCTGATGTGGAATGCTTGAAACTTGAATCATCTCCTGATTTTTTTAAAAAGACATATCGATTCCTCAAAACTCTTTCACCAAGTTTCAACAGTGCTTTAATGGAAAATGTTTCATATTTCTGAAATCATGCAGTTCAGAATCTTTTGCGCCCCTGAATTAGTTTATACTTTTACAATGAAATGATAGCTCCTTTAATATCTGATGCATCAAATAAGCTATTATTTCTCATGACGTCTTGTAAACTCTGTAGTCTGTACTTTGTGCCTTCAATTACCTAGCAAAAAGTTCAAAAGATGAAACTAAAAATGTTTCAATTTCTTCCAGAATACATGTAATTTTTATTGAGTTTCTTTTCAATTTAACTTGCTAATTTTGCCTTTTTACACTGTTCCTTAATCAAGATTCTGTTTTGAAAATTCAGCTGTAAAGCTTAAAAAAGACCAATCTTTAAGATTCTGTAATTTTATAAATTTTGAACATAAGTAGTTGATAGTCTTGTTCTGTTTTGCATCATAATTAATCAAAAACGGAGGTTTAGAAGCTTCTCTACAGAATTGCGGGCTGTTTCTATCAATGTACCATTTTTAAATTGACTTCTAGCCAGAGTACAAAATTATGCACCTCAATATATGTTTTCTCATCGAAATTTTACATAGAATACATCAGACGCTTTGAAACTTTCCATTTTCAACTCATCAAATGAAAATAAAAGTTTTTGTCAACATTAATTCGCTCATCCTGCCTACAAAAATGCAAAAAACCAAAGTCTGTTGGAGCCAAATTGAACACAGAAGTAATCTGATTTTCTTTTATGATGGAAGGATTTTCCCATGCACTAACTTTTTTTGATAAGATTGTAGGTATCTTGTAACAAGAGAGAAAGAAAATGTTAGTGAAACTAGAACCCAGTTATTTACAGGACGTATAGGTTGATTTTACTACCTGCTTTGACCTACAATGATTCTGGGTTTTCAGCGAGTGGGAAGTTTGAATTTTCCATTTACAATGTTAACTATTAATGTTTAATTCTCTTTTGTGTTGTTTTTAAATGTTTTCGACACGTCAAGCGTGTTTTGTGTAAAATTTTTTTAAAAAAACATGCGCTGTAGTGCTTGATTTCTTACCCTATCTAGTGGCTCATAGTTTTACTCTGCCTAAAATACTCTTAACGCAGTGAATGTTGTGTGCCTATTTATTTTATACTGATACCTATACATTTTATAATTATATTTTTCAAAGGTCTTACTGATTTTTTATTATATTTTATAGTTTTATATTTTGTATACTTTTGTACTTTAAATATAATGTTTCTTTGTGAACAGCGTGTACTTTTTTCGGTTCTGCCATTTCCCAAAAATACCTCCTGAACTCAGAATTTTTCAATTTTTCAGAGTTATTTCGCAGAATCTCTAAGAATCCTATCATGTCTCTAATTTTGTGGAAATTTTCCCTGTTTTCTCCTTTCCTTATTGTTTTGAGCAGTTTTTTGGTTAAATCTCACATAGGTTCCATTCCGAAGTTTCAAAATCTCTGCTCCTCTTTCTTCTTTTGAAGAGAAACAAGCCAACTCTTTAGCTTAAAATTCATACTGAATATTCTACTTACAGAGAGAAAAATCAAGGAAATGTTCTAAAAATGACTTTGACTTATTTTCTACAGAAAAAGAAAAGTAAGACAGGAAGTGTGCGACATTGCAAACGGAGATAAATGGTTTCGCACTTTAGGCATCGAAATGCTGGGATAATTTTAGGGTGATCTCTTCATTCTGACTAGTTCTGTGTAACTTCTTTCAGAACTAGCGATTCCGTGCCTGTAATCTCAACTCGTTGATAATTTACCTAATTTTACGCATTTCTTAGCCTTTAGCTCACATGGTTTAAAAACAGTAACTGCCAATTTGGTACAAAACTGTTTGCATTTTCTTCTCATTGAACCACTTCTGAGGTTACCGCCCACAATATACCTGGTTCTACTTTTTTCATGCTGATTCCATAATTTTTATTTTTTTTTATTACCCTGGAACTTTAGTAAGAAGTCAGATCTAAAAAATTTCGAATCTTTGGTCCACCAAGATAAGCAGCACTACCTTTTTGCTTTTCTGTCTTAAATTCGCGTTTTTGAAAGAAGTAGAAGCCACCTTTCTTTTTCAACAAAAATGCAATACTTTTATTTCATTAGTAAAAAAGAGGAAGCATACTAAGTTGCATGGATTGGATCCATTGATAAATAAAAGGAATAAATATACAATTTTGGATTAACAAGCTATCAGTTAGAAATTGAACATTGGATAAGAAAACATTCTGCACACCTCACTATGATTAAGACTCAAAAAAACAGTCATATGATTTCAATGATGAGCATGGTAAAAGAATAAGAGGAAAATATGAAAAAATAAGAAATTCAGACAGGAACATTTGGGAGACCTAAGTCAGAAGATTCTCAATCAGTATTGAATTCAGTTCATCAGGAGTAAATTCAAGTACTACGTACATCTTCGAGTGGTTCTCTTACAATGTTCTATGAGAGTATTAAGAGTGAACAATAATTATGCTTTTTATGATGGGCATGGACAGCACTTCTGTGATTAGGAGAATAATGAGTAATTACAAGGGAATTTCTAACATTCGTAAGTATATGAGCTCAAAAAGCAGGGGTATAGCATGAGGACTGAACAAAGGTAAGAAAAAAAACTAAGTTTTACTCACTTGCACGTAAGTTGCAATCTTTATTTAAGGCGTTTCGGTCATCCCAGATGACAATCGAGGACACCGCACCAAGAATAGCCTATGACTGAAAACCGCGTTTTGAGAAAAACTTATTTAAAGTTTTGTTTTTGATGTACTGCGCGGACTTTTCTATGCAGGTACCCTGTTTGGGTGTTTTTGGGTGACCTAACCCTTCTATTGAAGGATGCCGGGTAGATTTTATGATACATTTTGGGTTTACACTCGAAAATATATAATTTAAAAAAGCGGTTTATAGGCCATTTTATGCCCAACAGTCATTTTGGTGGCAATATGAAGTATAAATCACTTTAATCACGCATGATTAACGCAAAATGAAAGAATATCAATAGTGAGTAAAGAAAGGGGTAACTAGCACCTTATAGGCCCTTAAGTTTATAGGCCCGTTTGTAGGTCGTTCTTGCACCCACCGATCCAGAGGCCTGACTGAACTCGGAAAAAAAAGGTTTTTCGACCTCGAGCCGTTACCTATCTATATTCTATCACTACCACAGCATAGTCCAGGGTACGTAGAATCCGAAAAGCAGCTGGGCGTAATAACAACCTATACGCCTATAGGCTAATCTTGGTGCGGAGTCCTCAATCTTCTGAGACTCACATATTGCTGGGACCAATTAAAAGTACAATGAATGTTCAAGTGGGTAGAAATTTGTTTTTTTTTTCACCAAGAGGAAAGACATTTAAAGTACCTGCTTGAGGCCACTGTGTTGGCCATTCACTATTTTGACTCTGCTTTGCGCCAAGGGTAGAGCATAACAGCATCCTAACTCAAGCTCCCGTTCAAAAAAAATATGTGCCAAATCAATCCTGGAGATAGATAAATTTTTCTTTAAAAGGCCTGAGATTAATAAATCTGTACTGTTGAATGATATCCTGATGAGCTCAGAAAGATAGATCAATTAATTCATTCTTACAAACATGTCAGTGAACTCTTTTGACCTCTGTGCCCTTTCATTAGGGAGTAAAGAAAGGCTGAGTCATTCAAGCTCTAAGATAACATCCTTGGTGTACTGATTCCTGATTTATACAACATTCAGTGTGTAGAACACTTCAATAACAAAACTTTAGTGTTAGGATTCTTCACTAATCACTATATTACCTAACGATAAAAATATTCTAAAGGATAAGTTCAATTCTGCAGGCAGATCAGGAGCTGCGTTACTTTGCAAGAAAGAGTAGATTACTGAGAAACCTAGAACTACTTTGTCGCCAGGTTGCAAGTCCGAATTTGGCGTCACGGCGATTCGGATGGCTGTTTTGTTGTTTTTTGTCCATAGACAGTTTCTGAAACAAGAGAGCAAAATATGGATGTACTTATTCAAAATTTTATTGAGCGTGGATTAAATTGACGATGGAGTAAAATATTTTTAAAAGGAGCAAAAACTCTGGACTGTATAGAGGAGTTCAGGATTGAGAAATTTCATATATATTTGACATATATATTCATACTAGCCGTTCTGGGCGCGCTCCGCGCGCCCGTCACGCCTAGNCGCCCCCTGGACCCCCGGTCACTCGCTACGCGAGTGACATTCGGCTCGCTTCGCGAGCCGATTTTGTAGTAGTTGCAAATTTTTTTATCACTACATTTTGAAGATTTCATAGAAAACATTATGAAATTCTCACTCCACAATTTACTTGTAGAATAATAATGGCAGGGCAAGAAATAGACTATACCTTAAAATGGACGGTTAATCCCCACTTAGTAAAAACAGCCAACACCACGTGAAGGTGAGGAACCATCGTTAGCCACTTTTTTTTTTCTTTTCTTTTCTTTTCTTTACTTTTCTGAAAAAAATTTACTGAAATTTTAGTTGCGTCCCCAAAAAGGAAACACGGAGAAAAAAATTTGTGCATGGAACCCGAAGCTGAGATCATATGGATCTCTTAAGTTTTCGGATCACGCATCCGAAAAGTTAAGGTCCATCTGCCGAAGTTCGGGTCAGACAATTGAAGTAGTTCGGTATATACCGAAGGTTTCAGGTCACACATCTGAAGTACTCGGTGCATACCGAAGTGCTTCAGATTTCTGACTCACAATCAGAGATTTAGGAAAAACACAGTAGAGAACCAAGGAAATCACAGTAGAACAGAGAAAAAAATACAGTCGAATAAATAAAGAAAACTATTATCGAAGAAATTCTAATTATTAGAAAGTAATTAGCTGGCGTAATCAATGCGTAGCTGCATAGGAGCATGAGCGAGATTTATCATCAACTGACCGCTGGCCGCTAGGTACCTGGGTGGGCGAGCGACAATACGTAAGCGGTGGCATATGGTTCGATTGACAGAGGAGTGGGGAACGGTCAGACGTAGGGGAAAGGTTCAGGCTGAACCGTTCAGCACAGCGCAGCGTCAGTCACCGGGTGGGGAAGAGAGTCCGGGAGGGGACACTTCCCCTCGAGTGAAATAGAAAAAGGCAGAATCCTTCGAAGTTTATATTAATGATATTTAATATATATTTTGAGAAATTTCATATTAAATATCCTACAGAAAGTAAAAGCCTCGTCTGAACGTCATTGAGTAGAAGAATTCTACTTACAAAGAGAGTTACTAAAAACCTTTCAGGGACCTATATGCATTTTTGAAAATTAAAATCTCCCAAAATGCCCAGAAAAATAGTTTTCTTTCTTTTCAACTATGATGAGTACAATAATTTAAATCCCTCCATTGCCGTTTTTTACTTTACTTGATCTTTAGTTGTCGCCACAATGCCAACAAGAAAAGAGAAAAAATAAATGTTTATTTCCTCACAATTTGTGAAGCTATAGCTCTGAGAGTTTTGAATTGATTCTTGAGGCAGTTTCGGAGACAAAATTGTACGGCGCAAAATTGTTTAGAGCTCAAAGAGGCAACTCCTGGAATCATTGAAAATAATCTTTGCACAAATGATAATTTAAAATAATGAAAACCACCAACTGCACAAAAAATGAATTACTCTATCAAACTTACTCATCAACACTGCTATCATTTTCTGCAGGGATTAAATCTGGTGTATCATCAAAATCTGCTGCAGAGTTTTTAGGTTGCAAAACGACGGTTCGATTGTAGATATTGCTGTATGCAGTGACCTCCACTTTTTTGACTCTACCAAACTGTGGAAAATGCAGAGGAAAAATTTGAATTAAAAGAGATTGCAGTACATTACTCGAGCAAAAATTTTACTTGAGCATAAATAAAGTAAGGAGCGTTATTTTGTACAAATGCTTTTGGTTCTATCCTTTTAATGACAGCTCCATGGTGGTAAAACCCCACTGGGAGCCCTCATTATGACATCAACTTATCAATTGGACTACATTTTACAATTTGGACCTATAAATTCTGATTCATCCGAAAAAACACTTATGTGCATAGGGAAACTAATGGCACATACGTTGTTTTTAAACCGGGCTAGAATTTATAGTTCCTAATTGCAAAATGTAGTTCAATTGAAAGTGCCCTCTTGAAATAGTCGTCAAAAAATTATACAAGCAATGTTCCCGGGTGCTCCATTTACGAGACCTGTATGCTCTGCCTTTCTCCGTGCTGCTATTCGCTACTTCATCATTCTGTGACGTCAGGTGTACGGATATTTTAACATACGGAAGCGTTTTCAAATAAGGCTTTTGTCCGTACGCTGTCCACGCCAGGATAGGAAAGATACGCACAGCACAGATATACGCATATGCTTGGGATCACTGCATGCAAGTAGCGGTGTAAAGAACTCAATTTGGAGTTTGTCAGCTTTTCAGTTAATAATAAAGATGTAATAGCCTCAAAATATCTCATAACTAACATCTAAAAATCTTTGGCAGATCATTCTTCTTTTAGATTGCATTTTAAATGAACATTGAGTACTAACCTTAGTTTCTTCTCTGTCATACTTTGATATTTTTTTGACAATAACATCTGCGTTTTCTTCCTCATCCTTGGATTCAAGTCGATCAAAGCTGATATTAGTTTTATATCCAAAAGGGTTAATGAATTTCAAGATAACATTTGATGCTTTTCCAGGATAAAATGGATTCACGCTCACAATCCGAACCTCGGGCATATGATAACTGAAAATTGATTCAGAGAAAAATTAAGCATCAAATTAAAGTCTACAAAAAGACAACAGATAAAAACAAAGTAGATTGTAGAGAAGTGAAACTATAAAAGACTAGATAAGGCTTCAAATCTAAAAAAATATGAGAGTGATTACATTATATACATATAATATGCATGCATGGTAACTTGCTTTCATTGTATATATTGATGGTTGAACTGAAAAAAAAAAAAAAAAAAAAAAAAAAAAAAAAAAAATAGAGCATTTTACAGTTTCAATCGAAAATTTACCCATACATTTATTCCTATCTTAAAGAATATTATCTGTTATTGTCATATAATTTTCAGAAAATATTTTCGGAAAGGCATAAAGAAACTGCAAAAATTTGAGAACACTATTCATTTAAATAAATAAGTGTGAAATGATAAACTTACAAGCAAGATGTGTTCAGTTTGTGCTTTACGCTAATGGGTTGAATTTCAGGCTTCAAAACGTTATGCTCACAAACCCAACAACGTCCTGATTTCCGAAGGATCAAAATTTTTCTAATCGGATAAAAATCTGAGCACAACTCCGGTTGAAACTCCGGCTGGGCGAATCTCTGTGGCAGTGTGGCAACTAGAAGGATATAAATAAAAAAATTAGCTAGATTGATTGGTTTGAGATTTTTTACTTTCAGTCATATTCAAACATTATGTCTGTGAGAATTATAAGACTTTTCTCTTGTAAACGTCTACAGATTTCCGGGCTCTTTCAGCAACTGGTACTAACCCAAAGTCAACAATTTCAGACCACATTACTTCTTGCAGAGACGTGTTATTAATTTCTCCTTTTTTTCTGATTTCTTGAAATGAGGCCTTACCCTTCACGGTGGCGAAGCATTGCAAGCTGACATGACTAAAGTGCTTCTGGCCTTGCACATGACTTTATCTTTTATATTTGCTGATATTAATTAATGGTTATTCTTCACAAAAAGGAGCCTTCAGAAGTTTCAGAAACTTTATCTTCCAAAAAGATTTCTTACACTGACAGGAAATAAATTGGGCCTCTGGGGGATTACAGGATTTATGGTTTCATAGTTTTATAGGGTTTACAAATTAGGAATTTAGATATGATGATTAAATCAAATCTAAGAACGATTTTGGACTCTTTATTAAAATTTAGGTACATTGATTGCAGAGCGTTGTGTCTATGAAGCATTCTTGAATTTTCTCATTGATTAGGATGTACCTAAATTTTAGCAACAAATTCCCTGATAAAAACCTGAGGTCCCTCCCCAATTTTCTCAGAATCTCTTGGGAAAAGATCAACTTTCCACTGAAATGAACCACAAAAATAAATATATTTTTTCACTTTTTTTGCTACTTATTTGGAATGGAGCTAGCTCAGATCATCAAAACAACAAAATGAAGAGCTCAGTTTCCTAGCATAAAGATAGGGTATCTTCTGAATTCTAGATTTAGCCAAATACTTTTTGTTCCTTCATAAATCCCAGCATTACTCAGTTTTTTCATGCTCTAGAAACATGCCCGAAACAGCCACAATGTTTAGGATAATAATCTTAATAGGAATAGACATACTTTTTGATAGATCAGTGTGGTTCATGAATATGTCCTCAGGTAATTCTTCAGTGCATTCATTCGCTTCTGAGGGTGTTATTGGAGGAACAGTGACAGAGCCTGTATCTCGCGCATAATGAAATGCAGGTAAACCAACTTTTTGTCTCGCCAAAGACTGTGTTAAACCGAGGCTATGCTGAAATGAAAATAAGCATAAGAACTATAAGAAATTTGCCGCTGAAGACACGGTAAATTTTCCTATTCTCTTTCAAAACAACCTACTTGCTTCTATTCAAATTCCTCCACAAGCAAGGAGAAATTAAATGATCACTTGGGATGATGAGCTCACAAAAATCATAATCAAAATAGTACCAATGCAAACTTCGAACCAAAGAATTTAAGAAAGCTTTAATTGAATATTTTTAGTTCAATAAAAAAGGAAAAAAACCCAACATCAATACATATATTTTCCTTTTTTGAATTTCTGGTGGTCAATGAAAGCTAAAATGACACTGAGTCAAAAATGGATTGTAAGTCTTCAATGAATGAAAAAGTGGATAGTTTGACTTGTAGAGAAAACAAAAAATTTGACCGTTATGAAAAAAAAACGGAGTTGTTGATTCATGACGTAAAAAATAATTTTATTTGATTATGAAAAGAGGTTGTTCCAAAAACGCCGATTTTGGCCCCCCCCTGGATTTGGCCCAAACTTTGCTCAGATGTTGTACTAAGTGTCCCCGATGCTTGGGCAAAATTTCAGCCCCCTCGGATAATTAGGGGGGAGGGGGCAGGGGGGCAAAGTTGCAATTTTTTCAAAACTTTAAAAATCGATATCTCGCGAACGGTTTGAGTGTAAGTGTTGCGGTTTGCGCTAAAAAACGTTAAAAAATATTCTCTACACGAATATTGATGCTGTTTGCATGGTTGCGTAATTTATCGTAGTCATAAATCGATTTTTTCGATTTTGAAGGTTCGACTTTTTTTCGTTTTTCGTCTCTCCTCTCCAGGCGATCGTTGCTATGTGAATAAAAACCAGTTGAGGTGATTCTCCATGAAATTCTGCATCTACCACACTTTGTTTGACCTTGGGGAAACGATTCATTCTTGAGTTATAGCGATTTTTCTGCGCGTTCCCGGTTACGCGCGGGCGGCATATCGGCGGCGCTTCATCCCCCCCGGGCGAGGCAGAGGTTGTTTCACTGCTAGGGCCTTATATTAATGCTGTAGGCTGTAATTATTGATATTTTCTCCTTCTCCCACCCTTCCCCTCCTATAAATATGTTTTTTATACTTCGTTATACAGGGTGTCCCCGACCACCCGTACCAGGTCTTTTTCTCGGTTGGTTTAGGTAGTACGAAGTGGGGGACCGCGGGGTTAAACAGGGAATTGACCCCAAGGTATCCGAATTTCATTGTCCCGAAGCCCCCCTTCCCTCCCTTGGGGGGGTAAAGAGGGGGTCACGATCCCTAAAGTTGGGAGACATTGTGCCTCCCTCTTTCACCCCCCCAAGGGAGGGTAGGGGGGCTTCGGGACAATGAAATTCGGATACCTTGGGGTCAATTCCCTGTTTAACCCCGCGGTCCCCCACTTCGTACTACCTAAACCAACCGAGAAAAAGACCTGGTACGGGTGGTCGGGGACACCCTGTATAACGAAGTATAAAAAACATATTTATAGGAGGGGAAGGGTGGGAGAAGGAGAAAATATCAATAATTACAGCCTACAGCATTAATATAAGGCCCTAGCAGTGAAACAACCTCTGCCTCGCCCGGGGGGGATGAAGCGCCGCCGATATGCCGCCCGCGCGTAACCGGGAACGCGCAGAAAAATCGCTATAACTCAAGAATGAATCGTTTCCCCAAGGTCAAACAAAGTGTGGTAGATGCAGAATTTCATGGAGAATCACCTCAACTGGTTTTTATTCACATAGCAACGATCGCCTGGAGAGGAGAGACGAAAAACGAAAAAAAGTCGAACCTTCAAAATCGAAAAAATCGATTTATGACTACGATAAATTACGCAACCATGCAAACAGCATCAATATTCGTGTAGAGAATATTTTTTAACGTTTTTTAGCGCAAACCGCAACACTTACACTCAAACCGTTCGCGAGATATCGATTTTTAAAGTTTTGAAAAAATTGCAACTTTGCCCCCCTGCCCCCTCCCCCCTAATTATCCGAGGGGGCTGAAATTTTGCCCAAGCATCGGGGACACTTAGTACAACATCTGAGCAAAGTTTGGGCCAAATCCAGGGGGGGGCCAAAATCGGCGTTTTTGGAACAACCTCTTTGCTTACACCTGTGGAGACTTCTGCAGAACAAATGACTCAAGTGAGAATAAAAAGAAGGGGAAAAACGAGTATCTGTGAGAAAAAAAAAATTGAATCTTTAAGTTAAATTCATGCAATAGGTCATTTTAATGGGAAATCACTGCATTATGCAAAACTTCTGCATTGTTCTGTGCGCATGAGTTTGAAGGAGAAAGAAAAATAGAAGAATTTGAACTAGCATACATACATAGCTACTGTAATAATCCATGTCTAAATAATTGGTTTTGGGAGCTATTTTCTTATTCTTGTCTTTGAGATCACGAGCTGCTACAGCTTTGTAGTAATCAATGAGCTCAGTGATTCTGGAGGTATTTGGATGTTCTTTTTCAGGCCAACCACCGATAGCTGAAAATTAAAGTTTCAACATTAATAATTGCATAGTCTTGCGAACGGAAGTTCTGTTGCGCAGTCTTCTTAAAAGTTCAATCAATGACTTTTCAAGTTCAAATGAAAGTGAGAGACACCTAAGAAAAAACTGTTTTGATATTTCTGAGAATGTATCTCAAGGATTTATTGATTATTGATATTCTCCGGAGTTTATGGTCTTTTTTTTTTTTTTTTTTTTTTTTTTTTTTTTTTTTTTGTTTAAACGGAAGTGAAAATCTGCTTTCTCCCGCACTGGATTGAGGGGGAACCGAAGTGCCCCCAGATCCGGCGAGCCCCGGGGGGGTTTTCCAGGCCCACTCCCAGGTACCAGATACCAATCGCGGCCCGGTCCGAGTGGAACGTCCCCGGGCATCGCTGTCCGGGGACCTCGGTCCGGGAGTGTGAATGGTTATGTGGGTTTGGCCTATGACGGTAGGCCCGCCAAACACTAACGACACTCCCCTTGAGATGCATCCGCACTACGCATCCCCTTAAGGTTTTATTAGGTTCTTCAGATCATTCTGGATTACACTACCATCACTTGTTGCTTCAAGATGTGAGATGATTGGCAAGATGTCATAATTGTGGTTTACTTAAATTTTATTTCGCTGAATCAGTATGATTCAATAATTTTTCTAGCGATAAAAGTTGGTCAAATTGACATGAAATGAGACTCAATACGGCTTTTTTCTTGTAAACACGATAAAGACAGTTAAGTATTCTTGGAATATGAAAAGTTCTATTACCTACTTTCCCCTGGAGGTTAGGGGGAGTAAGATAAGGAGAGAGTTAGGAAAACATATAGTTATTTGGACAAAGTGGTGGTGTTGTAACAAAATGGTGTAAGATAATCTACAATGCTGAAAGAGCTACAACTTATTAATTGACTATTGTTGTCTTCTCATCCTAAAATAATACTGTCATTGAAATATCTCATCAACATCTCTTTGTGCTTTTAGTCAAATCGCTCAAGAGGATTATCATCCATTATCAATCCATCTATCGAGCATCAAACCTTGAACAATTAAATAAGGAGTAAAGTAGTCAGTGTGTTTGATGACTTTATGGGTTATTTATGATACCCTGAGATATATTTCGACTTGCAACATTAAAGGAAATCTTACCAATGGTCCGATCTGGCAAATCAACATCCCTCGTGCTCCAACGGCAAAATGAACAGCTAAAATAATAATACTTGGTTGCCTTTGCGTTATCACCTTGCGCTTTCCCTGAGGTGTCTTCAAAACTGGCTCCTCTACCAGCAGATGTTGCTCGTAGAGATAGGGCCTGGAAACAACTGGGACAATCCATACAACTTGAACACCTGGAATCGACGAAAATAAAAAGTTAAAAAAAGCAAATTAGCAATATTAACATAATTAGAGAAAAATAAAGTGGAAGCATTGAGATCTTGAGTACATGAAAAAGAGACAATGTTCTGATTTGAAGATATAAAAAGGGTTCCGGTTTGAAAAATCAGTTGAGTTATATGGCTTAGGTACTGGCTGTTTGGGGGGTGCTGAAAAAAAGAGGAAAGAAATGATACTTAAAAAGCTCTGTAATCATCATCAGACCAATAACTATCGATCTAATAGGTAATCATGGTTGGTTATTTTAAATTCCAAAAAAAGGAAGAGGGTTTACAGATGCAGTTGCCAAGGGTACACAGGTTGCAATGATTGCAATTACATGGTAAAATTATTGCTCTTGCGTTAGAATGTCGTGTACATTGTCCATTCACTGATAAGGGGGGCTCCTCTTATTGAAATTCATGGCGATAACATTTAAATAACTAGAACTGGGGAAAGAAAAGAAGAGACGAAAGTCGCATCAGTCTGGATGCATCAATCATCATTTGGCCCATTGGTTACCATGTATATACCTGTTGAATGGTGCACTCCTTGGATGTGACATGTGTCTCTTCTTTTCTTTCCCCACCTCTAAATTGCAAATTTTCTAGCATTGCAAACTATCTACTTTTTCTTACACATTGAACTCATTTTGTTGATAATATAAGATGAACACTTTCTGTCCAAATTATGTATAAATTATGCCATTTCTTAAAAAAAAAAAAAAAAAAAAAAAAAAACATTGCAATTTTATTGCACTTAGGTGCAATGTTATTTCAAAATTCTTGCTGCACTGTGCTGCTTAGGTGGGAGAAAAATAGACAGAAACTAGAACAAGACTTCTTTAAATGTTCCCTAAACCTTAATCACATGTTGCAAGTTTCGCTGAAATTAAGCCGATTGTAAGGATCATCCTTCATTGATAATGACCCTCCACTTGGGGCTTACTTTCAGCAAAACATGCAGCATGTGAATCAGGCGTAATAATAATAAGTAAACGTATGAACCACTCTGAACCCCAAACAGGCACGGTGTGGTCCACTGATAGTTTGTTTCCCGAGTGAAAATGTCATAATGAAGAGTCCAATGTCAATTACAGAAATCAATCTGAATTACTTCCTGAAATTCAGGTGCTGACATTAAATGAGATAGTTTACAAACCTATTTTTCTTCACCCTGGCTTCTCCTGGTGGTAATGACATAGTGCAATAAGCGCAAAAGCAGCAATCAATCTGGGAAGGTAAAATAATTCATGAATGAGGAACACTTTTTGAAACATTTATTTATCAACATACAGTACTTGAAAATAGGGACTCACAATATTTAAGATCTAATTACATGACTCCCCACTTAAATTCAGCTGTGTCCTGCGTTAACTGTGTAACATATTGCACGATGACTGAGGTTTTCTGCTCACACTTGAGTGCTGAAGCTGAACTTAATTTTGGTACCAGACCGAAATCAAAGACTAAGTAGAACTGGTAAATTGGTTTCACGCAACCTTTTTCTTGAAGGCTTACAACAGTAAGTAAAACAAAACCTTCTCAAATTCCCTCTTAGCGAGCTTCCACAGCAAAATTTTGATACCTTGCAGCACCAACGAGCCACTCCAGATTTGGGCAAAATGCACCAAAATCGATTACTTTCTTTGGCTTATCTTACGATAAAAAATTGGACCTTCTGGAGAAAAAAATATAGTGTTACTTACTTCATGACATAGGCAATAGCTACAGCGTATTTTCATGCAAAATCTGCATAAAAACAGCTTCACTATTGGTTTCACACAGCCGCAACCGCATTCAATTAGAACAACCTCTTTCTCAAGAGAAAGAGCCATTGCAGTGTGATGAATCAGTTAGAGAACTTGAGCGAATTATGACACCACGGATACATGAAAAAACGAAAGGATTCTTCTGTAATTGGAAAAATTCTCGTAAGAAATAAACCCCACACAAGTCTCTCGGTATTTCCATCAATTGTCAATACAGAATAGCGATCACATCACTCCACTCCACCGATGTCAATGTCTCACTACATACATATCATCAATGTAAATATTAAATACGCGATTTTGAGGTTAGAATCCCTTCGGTTTCAAGGTGTGTTCACACTGATAAACAAGAGCGAGGTGCGCGTGAGCGTCGCTTCGCGTCGCCTGTCGCCCGACGCGACACGCAGTCAGGCAAACCTGGTAGGCAATATGCGCCCCTCAAACTGAAAATTCAATGTTAGAAACTTCGAAAGACTCATATTTTTTTTCATTTTCTTTCAATTTTTTTTTTTTTTTTTTTTCAAAATTTCAACAGATTTCATTATTCCTATTTCTGTTTTTCATAGCACACGGCAGAAGTTTTAAAAAAAATTCATTTTATCAAGTTTCATGACATTTTGCATCTTTTCGAGACTAATAATAAGCATAAAAATGCGGCTTCAGATGCGCACTTTACACTCTATTTCCTTCTAAAAATACTTCGTATCCTTTTCCAAAGAAACAAAATATGCAATATTTTCTTCTTTTTTTTTTTACATATATATGCAGAATTACACCGACAAATTTCGAAAAAAATCCAATATATAATCTTGAGTCAACTTGGGGGGGAGGGGGGGGCGGACATGTTGTCACCATCACACTCAACAGGGCGCCGTCGCGTCGCGCAAAAGGTAACATGGAATTTTCCTCAACCCCATCTCCAAGGTGGCAAATGTCATGAAAAATAAAATCTTGAAGTTTCAAGTTCCATAAAATTTCAGCAATTTATGAAAGATAACGAAAGATACCGGTTCCTTTCCATGTTTCGCAAAATGTAAAAATTGTGACTTTCTTTTATTTTTGTGTGTTTTAGTACGGGTTGCATACTCCAGCCCCTGCAAAATATGAAACATTTCATATAGCCTTGTGAAATTTCAAGAATTACCTATTTCACTGAAATTTCCATTATTTCATATCTTTCTTACGTTTCATGGCGCCACCCTGCCCACCCCCTCCCCTTTATCTCATTTGGAAACATGAAAATTGAAGTTTTTTGTCCCTATAAAACGTAATTATCCTGTATTCCTCTTTAATGCTATATTCATTTCGTCGATGCAGGGTGCAGATCATCATCGACTTGAATCGTTCAAAGCGGAACGGGAGTATTCTTATAGCTAGCAGCAAGGCCGCATGAAATTCGAGGCCGCGACGGCGAGGTCGCGGCCGAGGGCGGTAAATCTCGGGGGTGCGACAAAAAATGTAGGTGAAGAAACACGAAGAAAAGACGCTGCCGCTAACACCGCACCGTGCCGCCAGGAGGTGACGCAGCAACAACGTGGCGATTCAATCCAGAAATATTAGGTGCAAGAGGCAAGATGATTGACTATAAAAAAGACTGCTGAAAATCTGCATAGCAAATGTGTGGATGTGTAATTTACGAACGGCATGAACCCCCCCCCCCCCCCCCCCCNATCTCCCCCGGTGACAATTGGTGGGAGCGGCAAAATCTTGACGGACTAGGGGCGGAGACCACGTCAAGCCGGCCAAGCTCCAGAGTTGAGACAGGTGCGATAATTTGGTAAGCTGATAGTTTCCTTCATTTTCGCGTGATACCGCATCACATACCTACCCACTCACGCCGGAACATTTATAAACGTCCTATAATTGGACCGCGTTAAACAGAAAGGAACCAAGCCACATCAGCTATTGCCAAAGTTAACCGGGCCGTTTAGTTTTTTACGAGAGGACGTTTGTGTGGATTCCTTTGAAATTTTTAAGGAATCAGCTTCATACTCTGGAGAAAATCCACTGAAATTTGCATAAAAATCCGCACAACCGTTTTCATGTAAAAATTTACATTGCCCGATTAAATTTGGCAATAGCTGATGTGGCTTGGTAAGCTTGGTTCCTTTCTGTTTAACGCAGTCCAATTGAAGACAGGACTGAAGCTAAAACTTCCTTCATTTTCGCTTGATACCGCATCACATACAAACTTCGAGTACCTCTACGCATTCAAGTGTTTTAACAGATGAGTCAGAATTGCAAGTTCCGAGTAGATCCGAATTGCAAAATGCAGTCCATTTGAGACGGTAAAAAGTTACAATAATTTCCTTCATTTTCGCGTGATTCCACATCACATACATACCTACCTACTTACTTCGGACTGCTTGCAGTACCAATCCACTTTAAACTTCGCAATTTCGCTAGTTGCGTAGTTATTCAGTACATGATAATAGTATTTTCGATATATTTTTCAATGAAACAGCTAATCTTTATTACGCAGAATTGATTTCCTGCACATATTGCCGCTGGCGCATGTAACAAATGAATGAGACATCTCTTTTTCATTGAGCGGGACGATTTGACCGTTTCGCGTACTTTGCTCTCATCCTGTTTCCAAAACATCTCCCCAAAATCGAGCAAGAGAGGTCAGTGTTAGAAAGGGTAACCCCAAACGATTTACTTTTGCCTGCCATAGCCACAGCCAAAGTCAAAAGGGCTCTTTTTGTTAGAGGCTCCCCCAGCCTTTGGTCTGAGGTTGGCCGAGGATTGAGTCTATTGACCTTGAGGAGGGAAAGTTGAGTTCGCGCCTGAAATTTGTTGCTGCGCGCGCGTCCCTTCCCACGGTACAGGCATACCAACGTAAAAACATCCAAGTTATGAATTACACTATTTTACTCAACTGCCATCGTTGTGCATTTCCATTGACTAACTTTAAATTACGCTGCAGCTGTTTTCTCAATTATATATCAATAATTAGATAAGGTTTTAAATGTTTTTGACGGTAAAAGTAGTCATGTAAACGGTGTCAACGCGGGTTCTACAGTGACCATCTGAAGCGTTAGGTTGGTGCGCTCGTTTAGTGTACAAATGGCTGTTGCGATTTCGTGAAATCGAGACCACTCGTGTGCTCTTTCTCACATATTTACTTTTTTGAATGCATGATTGTTTTAAAGTTTCATTTGAATAGTTCATTTATGTAATGTTTAGTTCGCCGGGTTCTATCATTTCTGAAGTGAATCGTCTTGGAACTAAATCGTGTCACTCTGTCTCCGTGAACTCAATCGTCCCGTGCGGTGCCGTTAATGAGTGCGAAAATTGAGGGCTTTTGAGTCCCGTTCCGGTTTCGGGCTGTTGGTGTTCTCCAATGAAGATTTAATTATCAATAATTTAGCATGCCTCTCCTCCACAAGAAACCTTTCAACCCTAATAGGTTGCCGAAGGGCCTGAGTGACGACGAGGAAGTGTTTTTGTGCGAACTTACATCTGAAGTGTTCAGAGATTATGAGTAAGTTTGTTTCCTGCTTTGTCTTCTTAGGTGTAGTATCATCCATGTACTTAGAAGCAGCCATAATCATACCTTTTTTTCTCTGAGGCCTAATTCGTGCTGGTTGCTCCACTGGCTCCCTAGTTTATATTGTCTCTTCTGATTGCCCCATTTCAGTGATATTCATCACCATCAAGAAGCTGATAAATTCATGCTCAATGCCAGAAAAACTAAATTTTCTCTACAAACCCAGTTGACCCATCATTGTAGCTCCTATCAGTTCATTGTCCTTGGCATGCATGTTGCTCCATTCTTCATCACTGTGAATGCCAACCAATTCTTTTCCTAATCGGGTCCCCATAGTTGAAATCTTCAGTTGACGCTGATTAGTTACGTTTTGGTTGTATATACCAATCATGTTAACGCAAGTACTATTGGAATCCACCGCCTATAATCTTCATTCATCAATGTTTTACAATCTAATCTCCATCTAACCCTACCACAACTCTTCACTTTTTTAGTGCCACAAGAGGAAATCAGCTGAGAAGTTACATACTGAGAGTTATTGCAATTTTCTAGATTTGGACCCAAGTCATATGAGCATTTAAGTAATTAGATCATTCCTCTTATTTCAAGAATGTCAAATTATTATGCATGTGTAACTGTCATTCAGTCAGTAACAATTCCATTTGGACTCTAAATGCTCAAACTAAAAACATTTTCTTACTTAACCCTCATATTACTCAGCAGTAGTAATATAGGGCAGACGTTCAAATTGAAGTGGAAGCTTCTATTAGCCTTGCTACGAAGTAGCTGTGGGCTTTTCCTCCAGGTTTGTGTCATAACTCACATTTTTCTGTGTCTAACTGATGAATGTATGTCATTGTTTAGTTTTGATCTTACCTGTAAGTAGACAAGCGCTTCTCGAACAGTTCTTCAATCTTAAATTTCTCAACTCGGTTACGTAAGTTTAGCTTACACGTTTGCTATTTATAATATGTGATATAGCTAGATTTGTTTCACTTGTGGCGTGGTACCATGCAAGTGTCAGGACCTTTCACCCAGCATTCTTTTAGTATGTTCAATAATTAACTGCGTGGATCTGTAATGAAACAGAGCTACTTAATGCAATCAGGGCAGTATGGACTTTGACATGTCAAAGGAAATGAGTGATAGCAGAACTTGCGGTGGACTCAAAACTGATCCTATATTGCTTTCCAAAGAAGGCGTGAAGAAGTAGCAGATGGTTAGTAATCTCTGATTTTATATATTAGCAGCTAGATTGAAAGTGAGGTCAAGTGTAGGCGCTTCAATTGATAGTTCACTCACCATTCCGATGTACTGACCCAGCCTGCAGTATCCAAGAAAGGAAAGAAAAATAACCAAAAAAAAGCTTAAATACTCCCTCCATCTCATCCCTCTCATCACTGTTCCGAGGCGTGTACCATGAGAAAACTGAGTTAATCCTATGATGTAAGTAAAAATACTTACTGAATAATAATGACGCAAAAAGAATGTGAGTTATTCCAGACTAATAAAGCTCTTTGCAGATTGTTTTAGATGTTGTCAAGCATCAGAGAGCGCTGTGAAAGGGGCTCCAATGTAAATATGCAAATTTTGAGTTTTCCTTTTTATATCATGCAATTTTTTAAATTTAAATCAAACTTACTAATTTTTCTTGTATTTACCCACTTACTTTTTTTCAGGGAATTCTGTGAGAGGATAATTCTTTGCAATTCATTAGTCTGGTCCTGCTCATTGACTGGTAAAGCCAATCTTACGTACAAGGAAGCCAAAGCTTGCGAAGAAAATGCCAAAAAAACTCTCAAAGAGTTCCCCATGGAGGTGAGTTTGCATTATCAGTTCACAATTTTTTTACAATTTCTTTTTCTTTTTTTTTCAATAAAAAAATTTAGGTAGGTATTACATTTCTTAGTTGATTTTCAGTTTAAAGTGTACCAACATTAGACTTCTCAACATGACAAGCCGAAGGAGAGTTTAAAACGATTCTCAAATACACCAAGCTAAATTGTGCGGCCACAAAATTTAAATGTAAAATGTAATACATGGCTCTAAATATTAGGCATGATCACTGTTACTGAACCGGACACATCAATTCTCGAGTTCGTAATAATTACTTCAAGTTTAAGTATAAGGAGTTATTAAAGAACTTATCATCAACACATAGGTGTTTAAATTGATACAAAATGCATTGAAAGTTTAATTCTCAAAAGAGGAATTGAAGAGTTTGCCCTTAGAAAGGCGTTTATATCAGGTACCCTGTTTTGGGAAAAATGCACCGCAAGTTTCACTTCCATCCCACAACTTACTATGTCGGTGATATGACTAACTAAGAATATCTTGCTTTTAACCTTGTCTTGATCTTGTTTTTAAAAATTGTATTATAAATATTTATTCTAGCTTCGAATACCTGTGTTATACTTGGCCACTTTAACTCAGCGGTCCTCTCTGAATGAACTTGCCGAAGATGTATTTAGCTACGTCAAGAACCATTATTTTATTGGTGAAACTGTGGAAGTTCTTTTTCCAGAAGATAAATGGTGAGTCCACAAATAATTCCAAAACTTTGCATGGAAATGTTTTAGAATGCGTTAAATATTTTACCTTAAAATCTTATCTGCAAGTTTTCATCACAGGCAACACCTCTTGAAAATGTTAGAATCACAGTCTTTTACCGGGTATTTTATTGGAGCCCCTTATTTACTGTCACTACTCAAATCAATATATTTCCATAGAGAATGCACCAATGCTTGAAATTCAGTTGTAAGTAGGAACTCTCTAGTGAACTGAGCACAAGATTATCATAAGTTTCCAAACTGGGCAATCATCGGAAGCATTAGGTATGACAGCATGATGTAATCTGCAAAATGCTACCATATGACACCACACAGCTGGTAATTTTCTCACTTTTAAATCTTTTCCCCTTTTTCCTGCATCAGAAAAATATTTTACAAAATTACTGTGAACTCAACTCATCCAGCTTTTTCACTAGAAGCAATAAAGGTTCTCATGCATATCCTCCATGGCAAGATAATTTTCAGTGACCTGACATTTTAACTTGATTACTGCATACTGGAATTCCTATAAGAGAATGGAAAACCGTTGGAAATATTAGAGGTTCCTATTCAAAATTTTTACTTCTCTCTTTTCAAGCGAGATTTTTTTTTATTTTTTGAAGTATGGTAGTCTTTTTTGGCTTTGCAGTAAAGCTTAAGCCTGTGAAAGGAAGAAAATCCATATTTTAACTCCTAATTGGAGGGGGGCGGGGTCAAATTTTTTTTGCAATAAATCGAAGGAAACTGGGAGAAAATTCTAGATTTTAATTAGGGTATTTTTCCATCGAGTCCAAGGAATGAGAAGGTGCACTAGGTGGAGACACAGTGCATTTTGAAGAGTTGTTTTTAACATTGAAGGAAATACGATTTTCTTCTGATAAGTAATTTGACTGTGTTTCATCATGCCTCAGGATTGAATGTCATGTCATTCAAGTGACTGAACCAACTGCAGAAGAGCTCTCGTCCTATGGAGGAACCAAAAAGTAAGTCCTTTGCTCTCAATGGCGCTAATCAGTTGATTTTCACTCTGTGAGTATCATTTTTTCACTAGGAATTATGAAAAAATGTCAAGAACCAGGAGACTACCGAAGCTCGCATGATCAAGATGAAACGTCCAGTGCACGGTCACAGATTGAACAGTCAGAACTGACTTTTAAAAGTCTTGCCTAAATACAGTGGAAATGAATCCGGCACACCTCCTAGAATAACCGCTTCGCTATTCCTCTAGCCACCATAATAAAATTCCCTTAACCATCTAGGCACCTCTCTATTGGTATTGCAAGGGGGGGGGGGGAGGGCTGATAAAAAGTGATCATTTTTTATTAGGTGAGTTGAGGAGGATGAGAATACAAAATATAAAACAGTCAGCCATGTCAGAAATTTCACCCAAAATCTTCTAAAGAAAATTGCTAATTGTGGGATGAAGTTTTAAAAGAAGCAACCGAGGCAAGGGAAATTTTAATATTTAATGAGGATATGCCTTTTTTTCTAGTCATTCGTCTTAAAATGAAAGTGTAAATCTAATGTACATTTTTTGTGTCCTTTTGCAATGTAATGATGAGCTCTCGACTCTCTGCAGATCTAGAATCAGTTAAGAATTCAAAGATCAAATTCTTATAACCGAGAAGGTTTTCAAATCCTAAAAGTCAAGAAAAGGTAGTGTAGGTACTCCTCTAATTTATAATTAATTTTTATTTGTTAAAAGTAATTGCCTCTCATAACATTGAAAATATAAAAATAGTGTACAATTTAAGGCGCATTTAACTTATTATTTGGCTGCCAGATTTGAAATTCATTTTTCCCTTTAGACTCCTGGACAGATTGTCTTTCATCTTACTTTACTCGAAGAATAAGTATTTGTAAGTACCTATGTTTTGTCATCCTGGCAAAAACATTAAAGAGGTCTGTAGATACCTTAATCACCAAAAAGATTCTTTTTAAAAAAAGAAACAAAAAAGTCAATCTGTTTATGAGCTAATCTAATCTTGAATAACCGATGTGATCTTAAAGGTATGCGCATCCTCTATTCCTCTCTCAAAATTTAGGTTGTTCTCCTAAGTCTCAGATTGGTTTCATTTAAAACTGTATTTTCCCCCTGCAGGATTGGAGAACGACAATTCTGGCCACCGTGTGAGTTATTTCACTATGAAGTGGAGCAGCTCGACTCCTCAGGAGAGGACTCCGTCTTTGTGATTAGTGCCTCCCAAGTCAAGAGAAGAAAAGGTGTTTACACGCGAGATAAGAACCGACTATACATCAAACAATTCTTTCATCAAGTTGGGTCCACTTGGAAACTCAAGGTATGTCAATCACTAGTACCCTTGCCTTTCAAATCAGCCTCCTGGATCAAATTCTCCAAATTTTTGAAATCAGCATTATTTGAATTTCTTCTTACTAGGGCCGCTTGCTAAAGCTTTTAAGGATTGTTGATATTAATTTTTCTGCTGTATTAAAGAAACAGAAGAATGGAAATCCATTCTAAGGCTGCAAAATTCACTCTAATTATTCCTTTATTTATGCAATGGAAACCTTACAATTTCTGTCCAAAATGTCAGCAGTTCTTGAAAAAAAATTGAAATATTTGTAAGGCAATACATCCTACAGTTTGTAACTATAAATATAAATTGTAAGAGGAAAGTTCCAACGTTGCTCATATGTGCCTCACCCAGAAAGCTAGCAGAAAAATTAACAAAAAATAATATTTTCCTCCCTTTGATGTTCAGGAAGAACCTTATTACATCGTATGAAAATCTGGAGGACAGGAGAAAAAATCTCTGTGGATTTCGTCTGAAAATGTGCTGTTTTAAATAAAGGAAATATGAAGAAATGATAAAATTAAAAAATTCTTGACACTGATGTCTCCCGGGTTGGAAAATCGGAAATTAACTTGGAGAAGTCCTTGATTGAAGTCTTTTCAAAAATCATCTGAGACAGGGGAGAAATATCAAGAAACTTCTTTAAAAAAAACCTGAAATCTTTTCCTCCCATCGAAATCTTCTCCCTCCAAATAGTTTCCAAAATCAACAGTGTGCAAACTGCAGGAAATTTCAAAGAAAGAAACCAATTTTAGAAGAAGATTGAGAACTGTTAAGAATGGCAGAAGTTATTCTTTTTATTGTATTTTCCGCAGTAAATACACCACTGAGTTGTTTTTTTTTTTTTTTTTTTTTTTTTTTTTTTTTCCATGTATTTTCGCTTTTTTTTTTTCCATGTATTTTCGCTAACTACCAACTGTAAAAGTTGTAAAATGTTGTCTCTAAGATGCTACAAGTGTGCTGAAGAGAGAAATTGAATGTTGTAGTGTTAGGTAATGAAGTCTTATTTTTTACATTTGGATCAGCATTTGAAATCGTCTAATGTCTAAACTGAATGGGACACTTTCATTCCCCTCTATGTTCTAAAGTTGGTCTTAAATTTTAGAAATGTAGAAAAATGTTTGTGGAAGTCCCACAAAAATATGATGAAAACTTCAGGAATGTAGAATAATTTTACTAAGAGTCCCACGTTTCCTGAGCATATCAATTTTGTTATTCAGGACTGTAAGGCAAAAAAACTGCTGTAATTTTAGAAAATTTAATGGAGATCGTATGTATTTACATAATCTTATTTTCACTTTATGTTATGATTTTTAGGAAGAAGCTCTGTCTAAGTACGGCATATCTCGAGTGAAATTTGATCAAATATTTGTAGGAGACCCTCCGCAATTCTACTCCCCCAAAAAAAAGAGAACGCCAACAAATGCATTGAAAGCCAATGGTAAAAAGGGTCAGGAATCAATTGAAAAATACCTTTCTAAAGTTTCAAAATTCAATCCTGTTCCCAACTCTGGTGAACCGAAAAAGCCCAGAGAGCCCAAACAAACAGCAGAGCAGCAGCAAGCGGCTATTGAAGAATTGAAAAAGAAGCGTCTCGAAGAGAAAATGAAAGCCAAAGAAAAAAAACGAGAAGAAAAAGTAAAATTAGCCAAATTCATGAAAGAATGGAACAAGCGGAGGGACGATTTGGAACTAGAAGATCTAAAAGAACTACCGGCGCCTCATCCAGTCCAGTTGCGACTGCCCAATGAATATTTTGGTGATTTAATGATGATTTTAGAATTTTTATATGCTTTTAATGATACAGTTTCTGTTCGTGACTATTTTCCTGGTGACATCACATTAGAGCTGGTTGAGCGAGCTCTGACTGAGAAAGAAATCGCAGGTCCGCTGAGCGATCTTGTTCAAATGTTATTGGGAACTATTTTCACGTTACAAGAAGACGAAGATGATGAAGTTCAAGAAATGGATAAAGAAGCAAACCCTGAACCTGATGATCTAAAAGAGTCCAGTACAACTATTGCGCAGGCAATTAAAGCAGCAACAGCTGCTGCCGGCTGGAGTCAAATGTATCATGGTACGCACTTAAACAAGTTAACTATGGACCCAAATACTCTCTCAGAGGTTTTGCGATTGCACCTCCTTGCCTCTGGTGGTAGAGCAGGTGAAATGAGCTCCAAATGGCGATATCAGCAGAGGGGCGGTTATAAGAGCACAGACGACCCTGGCCTGACCTTACGCATAGAAAAGCCTCACATCTTGCAAGCCCTTAGTCGTGTAAACATGTGCGAACTGTCCCTGGAGGACAAAATCACAATTTTGAAGTGTCTCATCGATCAGATTCTAACATTCTCAGCCGTTCGGGATATTATTGATGAGAGGCTGGATAAAAACAAGCAGAATAAGTTAGAGTTGAAAAATTTCCAAGCAGCGAACATCAAGCAAGAGCGTGAAGCAGCATTAAAATTGAAAGCGAAAAAGGATGCGTTGAAAAACTTGCCGGGAGATCAACCTCTACCACCTGAAGAACCAGAATCACCTGAAAATTCAGAAAAGCAAGAAAAAGAGCTAGCCAAGCGCCGCCAAGAAATCCAGAAAAAAGTTCGCGAAATTTCGGAAGGGAATATGGGATGTCAGTTGCTTCCGTTAGGTCTTGATCGAGCCTATCGGAGGTTTTGGCTGTTTTCTTCGGTACCAGGACTCTTTGTCGAACACAATGAATTATATGCTGGCCCTTGTTTGCCAAAAGGAACCCCTGTTCCAGATTACAACCTGATAAATAATGAAGACACATATACATACATTAGGAAGTTATTTGAGGAAGGCAGTGACAAAGAAAACTTAGGCAACAGAGCATCAGCCTCAGGCAGCCCTAGCAAGAAACTCCTTGTAGAAAAGAATGGAGGTGCAGATGAGAGCCAAATAGGAAACGTATCAAGAAATGAGAAACCATGCTGCCCCTTAACTTGCTGGGGTGACCCTGCAACCTGTCCTGTCCATTGTCTTGCACGCCCTCCAAACCACACTTATTGGGCATTTTACAAAGATGAAAATGACATAAATCTACTCATTGACACACTTAATAATCGAGGTTTCAGAGAGCATGATTTGAAGCAAGTCTTAATGCAAGAAAAGGAGCGAATTGTCCAAAGTATAACAAACTGTCCAGTGAATAAATTAGATTCCTCTTTAGGAACACCCATTGTAGAACCGCGCAAGTCATCACGCAAGAACGCCACCTACGAGAACGCCAATTATAACGCTCCAGAAAACACTCCCATCGACAAGATCATGGAATCGTTCTTGAGAGATACGTTGGTTGAGATGGAGGAAAATATCCACGCTGGCTGTTTAGGATCGTTGAAAGTTCACGACCGACTCAAATGGCGGGATGCACTCTGCAATGGATCTTACGATCAGCAGAGCGATAGGTTAGAGTGGGGCCCAAAAACAAACCTTAAAGTCAAAACAGAGATGGAAATCAAAGATGAACCAATGGACTGGTCGCCCTCAGAGGACATGTACTTAAATTCTGATGTCAAGATGGAACGCTTATCTGTGATAAGAAGCCTAGCGTCAGCCATTCTGCAGGTAACTAATCCTGACACTTTTTAGGTTCAACCTAATCTTGTTCCTTTTTTTTCTCTTTCTATTATTTTATTATAAGTGACTGGTTTGACAAGATAGTCTAACAAACGATCTATAGAGTGAAAATTGAATAATTTATTTATTTATTTAATCTTTATATTTCAGCCTTAAAAATCTTTCCCTCTTGAATCTGACAGCCTCTTGATTCAGAGGCCTGTTTTATTTAAGTACCCTCATCCTTTTAAAATTTGATCAAGACAAAACTAGTCACGTCTGTATACCTTGACAATTGCAGCTTTTAAAACATTCTAAATTAATTTTAAACATGTTCACACCAAACTATAATTCTGCATGACTTTTCATAATATTTTTTGAAAATATTCTATGAAAGCTCAATGCAATACTGTCAGTCAGTTTTATTTTTAAGTATAGGAATAAAAAATTTGCTGTTTAATCCAACACATCAGTCATTGAAACAAATCTATCTACAATCTAGGTTTTGAAAAGGAGCATACTTTCTTTAATGAGATCCATGTTGTTTACGGACTTTCCCTTTTCTACTTAATCAGTTCTGCTCAATGATATGTAACTCAATTTATTAATGGATTAATGATATAATTGTTGTTTTTTTAATCTTTTCAGATAGAGCAAGCGCTTGAACCGAAATATTTGAAAAGGCCATTAGGATTAGATGAAAAAGAAAAGGAAAGACAAAATAAGGAGAAACAAAAAGATGGTGAACAAGACAAGGAATCTGACGAAAAACCTAAAGAAAGCGTCAGAGAAAGATGGGAAATGGCACTAATGAATTCTACGAGCATTTCTCAACTATTTTTACACTTACAATCACTAGGTAAACTTTTTCATTTTCTTGAACGGTTAATGTTTATAGAGTCAATCAAACTTAAACTTTGGTTTGCACCAGGAATGGTTTTTAGTAATTTTTTTCATTCCCTCTTTTTTCAAATTTTCCATCATTCAAAGCCTAATTTAGACATTCAAACGTTTCGTCCTACTTTTCCACTGCTTTTGTCAGATGAAAAGTTTGATCGTTTGATACTAAACAAGAACAATCTGATGAAAAGTTAAACGGAAACTTGCATCTAACATCACCCAGTTTTTGACACCTTTTGGTAGGTGGTAGGTTTTCAAATTTAAAGTCAGGAAATGATTCATCAGTATTAGTCCGTAATGAAACTTACAACAACTACAGTTTATTTGATAACCAGTCTGATTTCCCTCTGTTGTTGAAACGGTCATCTTATTGAATTCAGAATTAAAAGTGTAGGGAAGTAAAATCGGTTTTTCTACGTTTTCCATTTATATAATTGTTCTTTCCTTATTTTGTCAACAGACAATAGTATCCAGTGGACAAGATCTGCATTAAATGCTTACTGTAGGCTGTGTCGACGAAGAGGCGATCCAGAAAAAATGCTTCTCTGTGATAAGTGTGACAAAGGACATCACATGTATTGCCTCAAACCTAAATTAGTAGTAAGCATTGTTTGTCTAATAATTTCAAAACTTGATATTAATAGCCACACTAAACCTGAGATTAGCCAAACTAATGTGGTGGTTGGCCAGTTCTGATATTGCAGAGGTCACTACAATGAGCTTAATTTGAAACACTTGGCATTTGCAAAATGTCATGAACTAATCAATAATTTGAAATGAAATACTGTTTAAAATATTTAAAAATACAAAGTACAGTAATATGTAGCAAAACTAATCACATATCCTTGATAAAGAATTGAAAAAGCAAACAAGTAGAAGTACAAAAGAGTCACAAAAGTGGATTTGCTCTGCCAACCAATAAAAAATCCGAAAAATGGGTTTGGAAAAAAAATTTTTCCTACTTTTCAAGAGTGCTCTCAAATCACTACCATTTGCAAGATTCTGTCTACTTTTAAACATTTTTATCAGAACAAACTAAGTAAAGCAAAATGAAAAAAATCCAAACCATGTTCGGAAAACAATTTTCGAACAAAAAATTTACAACTTTCAACCACTATGTCGCGAGCAAGCTTTGGATGATTTTCTTGATGACAATGGCCTCTATTATTCTAATGCAGCTTTGCTATTAACGCTGATGTTGAATTTGAGAAGACAGAAAAAGGGAGAAAAAGAAAGATACGAGAGTTTAAGAAGTCAAGTTTTGGCAATCCAGCACAGTTGGATAAAAGCACCAACAACCTTCCTGCCAATGCTGTAGAGGATTCTAATATAAATTTCCATTTTGTAATTATGCAGCCCTAAAGTGAACTTTAACCAGGCAGTAGTTCCCACTGGGATGATCCTTTAGCAATGTTTACACCTGTTAATGAGTATTTTTGCTTTATCAGAAAGTACCCCAAGGTGACTGGTTCTGCCCGAGGTGCAAACCCAAAGAGAAGCCACAAACCCCGGTCAAGAAATCTCGTCGCATTTTCGATGAAAATGAAACAGATGAGGAGATGGATGAGGATGATGAAGAAGAAGAGGAGGAGGAAGAAGAAGATGCTGGGGGTGAGGATGAAGACTACGAAGAAGAAGTCAAACCCAAGTAAGGACTTACTTAGGGACTCCTTGCTCACGTTCTCTCTTTACCAAGGAGAAAATATGAAGAATATGTAATTGTAAGGAAAATAGAGCTATGTGCAATTGTTTTGTGACTAAGAAACCTCTAGTCATTGCCAAAATTCCTTTGATAAAATACAAATTTATGGGGAAAGTTGTAAATATTTGACTTCCAATTTTTCAGATGGTTTGGTTTGCAATTTCATCTAAAATATCTGAAAATTTCAAGGGAACATATGTATAACTTTCTTTCAAAATACCTAATTTTTTTATCAGAGGAACTTTGACAACATCTGACTTGGGCGTTTTTCCTTAGTACAGTTGATATGATAAGACCAGGGAGTCAACTTGGCTAGAACAAAATTTCACTCAGAAGTAGGTAAAATGAAAATATCAGGCAATGTCAGAAGAAGATATTGAAATGTTTCCCACTAAGGAGTTGAGAAAAAGTAAAAGTATAACCTTGAAAACTGAGATCTTAGAGGTTAATTTTAAAATCAGAACATTTTGGTTGGCAAATTTATGGATCATACAAATCAAAAGACTTTTCCTCGTTTGGCTAAGGTATATCTAGAAAAAACAAGCAGTTTTTCCCCTTGAAGCCTGTCGTTGAAATTTGTGTAAATTCTTTTGTAGCTCTTAAAATTTTTTTCCTCTTTGACTACAAACATTTTAGAATATGAATTTAAAAGGTAGTGCTTATGTCACCTTGAGTTTAACAAAAGTATTGTGAACATAAAGTAATAAAGAGAAGACAATTTCAATACAAAAACGACTGAATCACTTGATAAGACAGCTGGAAAGATAAGTATCAAGTGGGGGGCTTCGTTTTATCCATGGTGTTCTCATAGTAAAAGCTGACAGCTTTGCCAAATATGGAATTTCAAGTTTTGGTAGTTGCTGTCAGCCTCAAGTTTGTTCAACGTTATCTCTAATTTCAACTTATAATTGAAATCGAGTCAATCAAAATCTAAACTCAAGCTCTCCACTAGTTCACCACTTTTTATGCCTAGCTAGACTGCGACAGTGCAAATAATTTATAATCGAGCAACATTCTTGCTGTCTCGCGCGAAAAGAAAGCACAACTGATTAAATTTGAGGACTTGACATGAGAATAAAGATCAAGGTTCTCTTTTGCTCAAGTGTTAATTTTTTGTATTGTTTGCAGGAGGAAAAGCATCCCTGTTGGGAAGTGTAAAGGCTGTGGAAACAAGGGTGAACTCGCTTCTTGTAGCAAGTGTTCGGCTGGCTACCACCTGAAATGTGCTCAGCCAGTGCTTCGCAAGCACCCGACCAGCAAATGGACGTGTCACAAGTGTAAATCAGCCAACGCCTACAGTAATTCAAATTTCAAGAAAGGTATTTTCTTTCTCTTTTTACTTGCCTCACCCTCCTTTTCCCTTACAGTTTTTATGATTAGTTTTACTGTAATGATCGCTAGTCAGCAGAAAAAATAGTCTTAATGGGGTAACGAAAAATCAACAAATTCTGATTTATTTCGCATCCATCCCAAGGGACTCCTAAAGAAAGACTGAATTTATTTTCTCTCGCTCGATTTTGCATCGTTCAAGTTTTTAAAATTATGAGAACAGATCAGCTCTGAAATTTTTTATGTCGTTAAAGAAACCTAGTAGAGCTCAAAGAGCAGTTGTTGAATGAAAGGGAAAGGTTCCTTTCTACATGTCGAATGATTGTTCCCCGGGAAAATCAGAAACTTGGTTATTTTGGTTTTTTCTTCTTCTTTCTATACACCGTAAATTGTGTCAATTTACTTTTGTCTTTGAATGTAGAAACATTTGAATCAGCATCTAAAATTCAGCAAAATTTAAAAAATGAAAGAAACAGAAAAAAGAAAAGAAATCTCAACGTCAGATGTAAGTATACATTCAGGAAACTAGACAATGGATAAAATGTTGCAAGCCTCAAAAATATGCATTCCTCTGCAATTTTAAATAGGATCTTTTAGGATCCAAGTATTTCCGTAGAGAACTAAAGATTGATTCATAACATCATAACCAAAAGCATTGTTGCCAATAGCAGTTAATTGCGGCCCCTCAAAGATTGCATCCAGAAGATTCCTACGACAAACGAAACAAACTTTTTGTGAAGAAAATCTAGAATCTTAAAAAATGATCATACTAAGAACGAAAAAAGGGTGAGATATCAATGAATGTAGACCATCATCATGAAAATCATGACCGAACAGTATGGCGGGTCTGGTCATGATTAAAGAGATTTAAGAGTGTCAGGTTGCTTAAAAAGGTGATTAGATGAAAGAGGTATCTAAAGTTAAATCATATAGCGGCGCTTAGGTTGTAAAGGTAAAGCTGTATGGGAATGGATTTGCTTTATTGTAAACTAGAAGCATGCTTTAGTGGTACGTATTTCATGCTAATCAAATAAGTTTAAGAGGATGCTGTCACTCTTAAATGGTTTCAATAATTTCTGTATCACCAGAGAGCTCTGTAAATGAGCATCATAATTGTTATCTCAAGTTGAGGGAGTGTTTTTGGATTGTGCAGATGATGTGAGCCCTTCTTCTGACGCTGAACGTGCCAGCCGCAGGCGAAGCGCAAAAGCAGCCACTGCCAAAATCTCACACTTCGCTAAACAACTCCGTTGCAACGCTTGGGATGGTCTGTTCTCCTAATACCTCCTTCATGTTGTACCATATTTGGACACATTTAAACAAAAGAATTTTATTGACCGCCAAGATAAAACAAATATTTCAGAGCAATAGTTTGGCACTTTCGTCTTGCCGACTGAGTTTAACAGATTTGCACCAAGCCGCATCAAATTTTAACTGTGAAAAAGATGTTGGAAGTTGTACTCTCCTCAAAGACTCAATGTTAAGGACAAAGTTTAATGAATAATTGCACGTTGGAAATATACCCTCTTGACTTTGACTTTTTGACAGGAGACAACTTATCAGTAGTTGCATTCGAAACTATTTCAGACTAATTTTTTTCCTAAATGCGACTCGATGCGCTCCTCTGTTTATATGTCAGGTAGGAACTTATTGGAAAAATTTAATAGAGAGCCAGCGAGAGACTAAAATGAGGAAACCTAGCAAAAACCATGCAAGACCATGAGATCAACCTCTGTTGCAAAATGCTTCTCTTTCTTGAAGTTGCAAATATTATGCAAACCATGAAAACTCAAGGCAAAACCATCTTTCTATTAAATGCTGAGTCATGCCATCACCAGGTTTTCCTCCATTTACAATGGTGCCGGAGGATTATCCCAAGTCCACAAAATCAGTTCACTCTTTCCAATCCTATATCTTAATCAATCTTTTTTAACAGATATGCTCCTACCCCTTTTGCATAATTGCGTCCATTACATGTTTAAAGTGAACCTGGCCCCATACTGAAGAGAGTTAAGGAAACCTAATTCTTCACAATCTGTCATGACTCCACTTTAAAAAAATTCATCCAAAAAATTGTCGAAGCTTCTATCTGTCCATGTTGGGCAGCTCCATTGCTCTGAAAAAGTTTTATATATAAGGAACGATTAAGAAGGATATCGGGTAGAGAAGGCCCGAAAATGGACTACATTATGCCATGAGGGACTAATATTTCAGGCTGTTTTTTTAGAAACAGCATATGTGCTCTGAATATTTCTATGCAGATAGTTTGTTCTCCTTCTTTTTCCTCTTTCACCCCTCTTTCTCCCATCTTTTTCTTCTCTTCTTCCTTTTCTATTTTTCTCTTCTTCTATTTATTTTCTCTCTTTCTTTCTCCCCCCTCCCATTTTGATTATTTCCTTGCAGGCAGGTGCTTTTATGGATGAGCCAGATGAAGTAGACCCTTATGGCAAAATGTAGTCTAATTGTAAAACGAAACTGTTATGTCAGTTTGAAACAAACTAAACCACCTGAGCCTGAGACTTATCTAGCAGAATACTTGAGTGTTTTTTGTTGATTACTCAAATTTAGTTCTGCATCCTATCTTAAGAAATATCCGTAAAAATCGTTAAATATTGCTTGGAAAATCTATGCTTTAAACTTTAAAGTCTCTTTTCCTGTGGACGGGCAGAAATCAAAAAGTTTTGTTTGCTGGTTATACTTTTAATGCTTCCTCGTACCTCATTTTCATCATGTTAGTAGATTTTTCAGCATTTAGACTTTCTGTTGAAGCGTTTACTCTACTTTTGTAGTACTCTGCTTTGGTAAGAGATGTTTCAATGGGCCACTTGACAAACTATGAATTCAAGCATTCTTATTAATATTTCCTCTTACATACAACACAACTTGCGCAAGGAAATTTAGTGAATTTGACTTCCAACCAAGAGTTTAATGTTCTTATCTAGCAGTGGCTGCGAAAAATTTGAATTTTCAGCTCGCAAGAGTAACCTGAGTCTACTAGGAATCAAACTGTGCACTACAACGATTTTGGCAGGCCTCTAATCATTCAGTGTTCCTTCCCCACCCCAAAGTGTAAACTACAGACAACAGCTGATGGGAAGCACTGAGATTTAAGTTGCCGTATTTTCGCATTGCAGTCTGTTGCGGAAAGTTTAGTTTGTGATTTAACTCAATTAAATTATGGTCTCCTTAAAGGCAGGAAGTTTATGCTTTAAAAAAGGTGAAAGCCTTACCAAGAAGTTAATTTTAATAATTTGTGTTGCACAAATCAGCCTCCAGCAGTGAGGTGTGAATGATCGATTATCAAAATTCCCCCATTTGAAGCTGGTAAAGAATCAATTCTTAGGTGCTCATTGCGAACACTCTGTTGATCGATCTTTTCCCATATATTTAAACGGTAGATCAATCATATATCGCAAAGCACGCCACGCCACCATCAGGGTGAAATTTTGATATGAAAACATCATAATGCTTAAATTTTCAACTTGTCCAGTGGTCCATTATTCATTATTTTGCTGAGGATAAAATGACTAGTTCTCTTTAACACTATTTTCATTAACTGAAGGCAATTGCAAGCAAAGCCGTACATTTTTGCTCAAGCAAAGGGTGTGAAGTCACATTTTCATCCGAAATTTGTAGTCCAGAACCTGCAAGATTGACACGTGAGATAACAGAACATTCGAACCTTTGTAAAGTGGTCCATAGCTCTTTTTAGGTATTCAGAAGCACTACTTGACCCTATACGGTTGTGTGAAGAATAGGTGTTATCATGGGAATGATCTTGAATCAATTCTCGTCCAAAATTTACTCTTTTTTACTACTCGCATCATCTTGAACGAATGTCCCTTTGAATTTCTCCAAATTCCTGTGCACCCACTGAGGTTTTAAATTTTCATTGTATTTTGCAGGGAATGAACCTTCTGAAATGACCAATGGAACATCTTCGCGACGGAGGTCTCGGCGGTCCTATGAGCAGGCTCCCCCCATGTCCAATAATCTACCTCTAGATAACGCCGTCCTGCAAGAGCTTTTGGATGTCGTGATGCATCATGAAGATGCATGGCCGTTCTTACGACCTGTCACAAAAGGAGAGGTAAGTCACAAGTGAAATTGGTACTTCAATCATCATGAATCATTCACCAGCAGGGGCTTAGTGTTTTATGGAGCAGTTGTGCGTTGTTCAGTTCCGCAGTTTGTGCTATGTGTGAGTCTGCAGTCAAGCTGATTAGTGGCGTACTTGTTATGAGTTCAGTTGAGAGGGGCAAATGTTGTTGCATGAACCTAACACAGTTTTTTGCCTTGTTTTGTTTATTAGCGCACATACAGTCTTAAGCTAAAATCAGGTGGCAATGAATGTGTCAACTTCGAACCTCTCTGTTGACAAGTAAAATGCTATCAAAGTTCTGCCATCTTAATATTTGCAGTCAAGTCCATGCAATAATTATTTTATATGGAACAAATTTCATTTTATTGAGTGATAATGTTGTGAGTACGGCTGAGATATATAACTGCTCGCTACGATTGCAACCTGTAAATAAATGACTTAACACAGGTGAGAGGATTCTTTTTATGAAGTCACAAAATTTGTCGGCCTGTAATTTTTCTGCCTGAAACAAGGTTGGATTTTTGACAACTTTGAAAGTCTTCTTTTCAGGTAAAATTTGATCAGATTGAAAATGGAAGGGAACAGACATCCTCATTTATCACGCACTTTCTGAAAATGAATTAAAAAAAAATATGCAATAGCCAATGGTTAATCAAAGGACTGTGTTTTAACTGCGCCAGTAGGGCTCGCCTTTTGTAATCACTTGGTTCTACCATGTTACAGTACACCAATCAACCCATGCTATTCAACGGGCCATTCAAATGTTTTTTTTTATAGCACCCGTTTTTTTGTCTTTGAACTGTTATACTGTCAAGCCCTGATGGTCTCTTACCATAAAACTACGTAACTTCTCAGGGGAAACCCTTGAGAACATTTTTCTGGCAAACCCTTATTATTTTATTCAACAGAAACATCACATAAGCTTTTCTACGGTTGAACAACTCAAATGTAGAAGCCTCTTTCCCGCCACAACTTTTTAGCCAATGAGCGTCTTGCGCTGTAAGTGCAATATGTGATGAGCCTTGTGACTCATTAGACCATATGCTAACCGTTGCCCGTACAGAAATCTACTTAAACCACTGCAGTTATCCCCCGATATTGCTTTGGGTGTCCGGTTTCGAGCAAGAGAACAAAAGGGCGACCCTTTCTGCTGTCAAACCTTATCTTTCACGCCCGATTAACCATTTATCACGACGCCAGGATCTACCAAATTTTCATAAAAATTGTTTTCTATCTATTTAACAAGTTTCCCCTTACTCTTTATTAAAATACAATTGATAAGAGACCTCATTTGTGAAAATCGGCTGAATAGAAGAGAAGTTTCAGTTTGAAATCCAAAGAGATTAACTCAACGTGCTTTCTCAACACAAATAATGAAAGGATGGAAACAATAAGAAATGTTAAATATAATTAATATCATTCACTTCAGAATTTTACAAGCAGTTCAATTATGTAACGGAGCAAAAATTGGGGCAAAATTACAAAAAATTGGTCTTTTGAATGGGGCTTCTTTCCAAGAATTTTGACCCGAAGGCATGAGTCGAATAGCAGCCTTACCCCCTAGAATACATGATGTGCCTGAACGAGTTTAAATCGTTTTATCTGCCACAACCGAATACTCTGTAGATTCTTGAACTACAGTGTCTCTCGAGTCATTTAAGCCAAAAAATTCTGTGGAGATCCTGGATAAAAAAAGCGACTTAAAGTATTTTGGGGTTATAACAGCTAAATCACCAGTAGTAAATCCCGTTATATTATTGAAAAGAAAGAAATTAACTTGATAATTTATTGCCTGAGTTTCTTAAATATGATGATTTTAAGCACTCGAGAACCTATACCACCCATTTTAGCCATGTATTGATTTCCTGAGAGCCGATAATTGAAGGGATTTCTCATAGAACCCTCCAAAAATGGCCTGCTTTTTAGGCAGCCGGTTTGGCCATCAAATTGTTGGAAACGCACTAATATTCCGTCTAATTATCTTGATTTTAAACTGATGCATGGCAGTTCGCTGCAAATTGTGGTTGTGTGCAAACGCCGCTTATCAGCATAAAATTAAGATAGTTGGACAGAAGTTTTAAAATTAATCTACATTCAATGTTCATGAATCAGTATTTACTCCCAAATTCAGCAAAAAGTACCAATTGATACAAATAGCAATGACATGAAAATAGTAGGTACATATGTGTCTAACATTTCAGTTATTCAGAATGCTTTTCCAACATATTCAGGTTTGATTTTTCTTCTTGTTTTAGGTTCCAGACTATCACCTGATCATTAAAAGGCCAATGGACTTTGGAACGATCAAGCACAAATTAAACATGTTAGAGTACAGATTAAATTCAGAATTGATCTCTGACGCTCTCCTGGTTTTTGAGAATTGCTTCTTGTACAATGAAAGTAGCTCAGAAGTCTACCAGTAAGTATACAATCGTTGGATCTGTAAACTTTTTATGATGATATATAGCTTAGACTCTTACACCGAACAGAAGTTTATGATTTGTGAGTTTCAACTTTGATGTATGTAAATTGCAGCTTCCTCACAACATTATTATGTTTTAAAAATCCCCTTATTTGGGTGTGTATTGGTTTGTTTTTAATATATTTTTAAGGAAAGTTCACAGTTGCCGTGGCAACTACTATGTATATCATATGAAGACCTTTCTGACCAAATAGGTTATACCCATGTCAGCGACGCTAAGATTATGCAACTTTTCTTTTTATTACAAGTATCCAAAATCATCCACATCACGAATGTCTCTGCCAAAATATTCATAAAAATAAAAAGAAAATTTGAGGCAAATGTTAGAAGAAAGTTTACAGCTCTCTACCAACTGAACAGTGGGATGTATGCACAATTTTAGCAACTTTAACATGGGAAAAAGCTGTTTGGTTGGAAAGGACCTCATATACTACATTAATTTTTAGAGAGAAACTAAATTAACGTTAATTATTAAAATTTAAACTCATTGACTGCCACTCCTTCTATTTTAAAAACACATGATCATTTTAAACGATCAGTGCTAGCGAAGCTGATTTTTACATATTAGTTGAGCCTCACAAAGCAAGCTATCCATCAGCATTAAACTGAACTAGTAGTATCACTAAATGCCCGATAGAGGGCACCAGCGCTGTTTTTCTTGAAAAATTTGTAAACGTACAGCGTTTCATCTGCTGTGAGGCGCTTTTTGCGTGTTTATGTGGCCCTGCAGGAAATAAGTGCTACAGCACCACGGCAGTTAATAAAGTACAGAAGTAAATTTTGCATTTCTGCAATGTAGGTGAGCGGTTTTGAAGTCTACCATCAAGATGTCTATGGTTATTTTATTGGTCAAAGTTCTTTTCGAGAAACAGCGTATTCGTGGCTCTATTATTATCTAAGATAAATCTTTGGCTACTTTTTCAAGCTGAAACTGCCTTAATCTCTGAGGCAGGTGAGCAGATCATCCTGTGGGAGGATAGTACTACCAGTTATCATCAATTGAAAATGTTTGTTTCTTTTTTTTTTTTCAGAGCCGGTGTAAGATTGCGGAAGTTCTTTGATAGACTCTGCAAGGAACGGAATCTACATGTTCCGGATGATTGTCCAAAAGCCCCTCCAGCAAAAAAAGTGAAAACAGTATACTAAAATTCTGCTGTCACAAGTTGTAGCTAAATCTGTAAATAGTCCCATCAGTTTTATTTATTTTCCATGAGTCCAAAATCATCTTCTATCTGTACTTTTGCATTTGCTCTCTGTTTCTCTTCCTTTTATGTTTTCCTTTTTTTTTTTAATATTTGTGATTCCTGTTTTTAATTTGTCGATCATGTACCTTATATTTTACTATAATTTTGTGTCCTTAGTCTTATTCCTTCCTCTGATTACTTATTGTACTTTAGTTATTTGTAATAACGTGTCCCAGTTCCGTTTATTATTCCCTTTTCTGCCTTAATTTTAGAATTTTCAATCGAAATTGAATCACTTGATTCCAAAAAAAAATGTTTTTCTTATCACAATGTGCATTTAGCATGAATTAATTAATTTTTTTCTTGTTGCATAAACAAGGAAAAACTTTTTTAAATTATTAGAGAAAATCAAAAGCCATTTTAATGGCTGAAGTCCTAAAATGTGTATCTCTGATTGCAACGTTGCAAGTTTTTGAAAGAAAATCATCCCACAGTTTCCCTTAGTATTTCCTGTGAATTTTCTTCACCCATTCCAGAATATTTACTGAATTTTTTTTTCTTTTTTTTTGCTGTTTTTCATTCTATTTTTTTAAAAAAAAAAATTAAGACAAAAATTTGAGGTTGTCACGTGTTTTGACTGGAGCCACTGTCATTTTTTTTGGTAATTCTTGGGGAGTGGAGTAGCATTGAAGACCTTATTTATGCACGCACAATGGCCTCAAACCCAAACTGAACTCCAAATTTGAGTTGAGCCGAGAGAGAGAGATTAAAGAATATTCAAGAATGAAAAAGGCATCCATCTTAATTTCCAGAGATACTTTATTTAAAATACGAGGAAAGGCAAAAATACCAAAAGAAATGCTCCGACTAATTGAAATGGTAATTCTGAGGATGATGACTAAATTCATAAATTGTACCCTGGAATCAATGCAAAAATATGATGTAATTCATGTCTAGCAAATCGTGATCTCTAGACCTGTTTGTTTACCCTCAAAATGTTTTATTCTTCATTCTTGACACTGGCAATTTGTCATACCACTATGTGATTGTATCACTGCTTTCTCCATTTTACTAAATTTAAATATAATATGTGATTTTAGTACTTTAAAGTCAGTTTCGATATTCCGATGGGTCCATGATTTTTTCCACATTTACCTCTGGTCTAGTCTCCTCTGTTTTCCAGCTACAAAGTTCACATTTGAAAGATAAAGATTCAGAATTGTTTTCTTCCAATGTTCCTTTGAAATATTTTTTGTACCACCTCATCTTGTGAATGTACCTCCATATTGGTGTTGAATTGAATTGATCTGTCTTTTTGAAGAAAACAGCACAAAAAATTAATGGCCAAAATTGCCCTTTTTTATATCTTTTGATAGATTGTTGACAGAGGCATAAGTTTCTCGGGGAAGTTAAGTGCCCAAAATAGGAGTATGAATTGAATTCCCTGAAATATTGTAGGAACAATCTCGAGGAAGTTCCTACTCCAGGGAATGAGAATGGTCCCCTTCAGATTCATAATTGTCAATTACCAAATCGATAATTTTTATTTTGAGCTCACAGATGCCCCAATGTTACTTTATACCATTTAAAAAGCACATATAGTCATTCCATAATTTATTGATTTTGCTTGATTGCAAATGTTTGAATAAAAATGGGTTATTTTTAGTCTTGGTGTAACCTTTACAGGATCGCTTTCAAGGCACTAAAGTTTCAACAGAAGCTCTGCTTAGGTCAGGCCTTTGTTTTTCCTCCCATCTTTTTTTATAAATTTTCCTTTTATTATCGTTCTACTTTACGAGTGTTTCTAGGTGGCCATAGCCACTCCGGCCCAATCCTAAAAAACTCCCCCTGAAAAGTTAAAGACAACAGGTGGCTGCCGCCTAACTAAATATACACAGAGAAACTCAATCGGGCTTGCCTGCTTGGTTTGCGGTCCATTTAGTCCTCCTGCTAGTTAAGTCTAATTTTTATACGATGTACCACAAGACAAAGTGCGAATTTAAGTATGATGATGTATGTTTTCTCAGACTCCAACTTATGTAACAAAAATTATTGGAAGTATTTCCTAACTAAGATATGTGTTTTTCAATACAAAAATTCAAACTTCCTGCTCATGAACATAGACTCTAATTGTCCTTGTGATCAGAAAATTCAATTTTTTGTTACTAGGGCCGAATGAAAACTTCAATTTCTTGTTCCATTGTTAATTTCTGTAATTTTTGTTGCGTGAATAATTTTTAATGAAACTTTGAGGAGGAAACATGTATTAGAATATTTCAATTCGAACCTTGTCTAGAGAACCATTGCTGTGCAATTTCGATCATGAATCCTGACTTCTTTAAAATTCCTGTTTTCAAGAAGTCTGTTGAAATCGGCCATTAGTTATTATTTATTTATTAGTTTGTTGATTAATTCATTGTTTTACAATCAGATATTTCACCAAAGTTGTTTCGGTAGTTTTCACCCATTGTTGATTGTTGTCTTTTCTAATTTTCAGCCGTTTCCGGCAACTATCTACACCTCAATCATTTCCTTTACGGACTCTCTAAGAGTATTATGAAGATAAATTTGCTTGGTCGTTGCAAAAAGTACAATTTACCTTTGCTTTACATCTTGATTCAAACAGTTATAAAAAATCGCCCTAAAAGTATATTAGAATCGTAGAAAGTTATTATACCACCTTGTTTGCCGTACAAAATTGCTGAATTTTAAAAGCTAGGTCATAACTTTAGCTCATTGTTCAATCTTCGAAAACGGGCACCCTGAAGAATTATAAAGAAGCTATCTATTTTTTTTTTTCAATCTTCATCTTCCTGTGAATGCAAATGTAGCATTAAGCACCAGTATAATGAAAATTATAGAAAATGTCTTTCCAATTCTAAGCACATCATTTGCAGATTGATATTAAAATACTTATTCCAGTTCAACTTTGATTATTGCTTTTCTAACTTGGGCTTTTTTTTTGTTCAAAAAGCCTGAAGAGCATTTGTGGTCATTCTCCAGTAAAGGTTGTCTGTTAACGAGTTTTATCACTAAGCAAATCGTCTCTGTGAACTGGTTTCAACTTGATCTGTATTCAGAAATCAGCCTTAATTTTTGAAATTTACTGCAGCCTTGGGTGATTCAGTACCGCTGCAAGTACAATACATCCAGAAGGCTGTTGTCGCATGCCACAAACTGTTCCGTCCCTGCTAGATGCAAGCTGAGAGGTCAACATTTTTTCGTTGAAGAACAAGGGGTTTTGAACCATCAGCAATAACCACAGAACCCCCCCCCCCCCCCATTGCATGAATTTTTGCGATTTTAAAAGCAAGAACTAAGATTCCAGCTGTAAATACAGATTGAAAGTATTTACCCTGATTGTAGAATTTACGGTACAAAGAGATAGTATGTTCTTTCTTACAGTAAAATTTGAACTGTTCTGACTTCTGTTCTATCTGTACATATGCATGTGCCAGAAGTATCAAAGAATGACAACTGAAGACTGGAACATATGATCCTATTGAATTCGTCCGAAAAGAGTTTTTTTTTTTCTCTCTCTAAGGCAAATAGCGCAGGAAGCTTTTTTTGCACAAAAAATACAACTAACAAGCTTTAGCATTCTTAATTTTATTCCTAAACATTGCCAAGCACATTCAGAATCTGTTATCTTTTGTTGATCAGTCAAATGAATCCAATAGATTTTTTAATTATTTTCAAGCATTGTTCTGTTTTATTTTAAAATACAGTATTAGTAAAAATTAATTTAATGGAAATGAAAAGTTTTAAGAATTGATTTTGAAATCCTCAACGGCAAAATCAGAGAAAACAATCCAATGTTGGAATGTAAAAATCATTGTAGTCTATGCTACTGACGAAGGATGGTAAACTGAAATAATATTGTACAATTTAGAATAGCTTTTAGTTTTATTTGCATAATAAACTAGTTTACTAGTTTTTTATACTGTTGACTATGATTATTTCCACTTAAAGAGCAAGGTTCTCTTGCGCTAATACCTATTTACCGATAGCCACAGCATGAAACCATGTACATAGGCTGTTCAAAAAGTACCTGGACTGGTTCTGTTATTCGAAAACTAAGTTAACTAGAGACTTGATCTTGGTCTCATTTTATGAAGATCAACTCAATAGCTATTAATGGAGGATTTGTACGCTAATCTTTAATTGCTTCCTCTGAGAGTGTGTAATGCGCTGACATCGCAGAATTTTTTATAATTCTTTTTTTTTGAACTGGGAAATAATATGAAGAAAGATTTAATAGGGAGAAAGTACACCGCCTAGTGATGTCATCTGGCGGCATTAACCATTAAAACACAGGTCTTTCAGCAAATTAGTTAATTTTGTCATATATCCTTCAATAATTGATCTTTCTTTTGATCGTCGAATATAAGTTGAGAGAGGCCAGTCATAATGCCCTCAATTTTATGCATACATATTTTCGGGCCAAATGAGAGACGACGTTTCTCCATTTGCGACGTTGCAGACTTCCTCAGAAATGTTATTTTTGTTTTGAGAAGCTGGTCAACATGAAACTTAAATTCTCCATGATTTTTCGTATTCGATAGCGAAAGATCTGGTTCAAAATCTAAAGTCGTAAATTCTTAAGGGTCTCACGGCTCATGTCCTAATGCAAATATAGTTCCGTTTGATAGAAATACGTCCAATAATCGGCCCGCTGGTCCATCATCTGGACTCCATCTCTTTTAGATGAAATCACTGAAACAGCTAAAACGGCAAAATTCGTCTTGTTTTTATGAAAACGAGACTTATACCTAAGGAAGTCGTAAGTGCGCAAAAAATACGTAGTATCAGACAAACTAGCCTATAGTAGCACCGATCAACGCGATTCGATCGACAACCGTGAATGGACCAACAAATTCATGAATCGATTGACGAACCCGTGAATCGTTCAACAAACCAGTGAATCGATCGACGTGCAAACCCGTGAGTCGATCGACAAACTCTTAAATCGATCGATTCACTTTTTTATTTTTCAATCGATCATGTCCATTGAATCTACACCCTTTTTTTTTACAATAATTTGTCAATCGCATCGGTGTTGATCGGTTCACGTCTTTATTTTTCGATCGATTCATGTCATATCGATTCCTGAGGCTAGACCGCCAGGGATCCCCCACGCTCACACAATTGTATACACTGTAGTTTCATCCCGAAAAGAAGGCGCAAAGTCTACAAAATGCACAACACGAAGTTAGAGCGCTGTCAATGGTAGCGGCAGGCCCGCCACATCCCATATCGGGCCCAGGTACCAGTTTTAAGGTCCGGGCCCCAAGCACGGAGGGGGGGGGAGTCCGAGGGGCATCCCCCGAGAAATTTTAGAATTTTTTCTAGTTTCAGCACAAAATACTTGCGAATTGTTGCATGGAGTTAACATGCAATTTAATTGGAGATAGCCTCCATGCACGCTGGTCGTGTCGATTTCCTCTGAAATTTTTGCAGTGGTGAATGCATAGCTGAAGTGCGCTTCAGCTAGAATTGTATTTACATGTGGGTGGTTCTTATAGGAGGATTATAATTAAACAAGTGGTTAGAAATGGAAACAAAATAATATGAACTATGCAAAACGATTATTCCGATAACGGAACTTGGCTGTTTTGAAAACGCCTTCAAATGCGGCGTGATACAAAAATTGCGATATAAAAATCTGGCAACCTCAATTTTGACGCTTGGGCTCAGCTAAAGCAAATTGCTTATCATTTGAACAACACATGGTGGGTTATGAACAGTGATCGATTGAGAGGCTAGCTGAAACTGATGTGGTGCGCGATTTGACTCACGTAGAGCTTTGAGTTTCTTGTGAGCGGGCAGTTCAAAATCCGCGTAACCAATGTGAAATAAAAAGGTAAATATCTTCATCAGGAGCTGGTTTTAGTAATTTTCGTTGCGCGAATCGTGTTCTACGTGAAATTCTGCTTAAGAAACATGTATCAGATTGCTTAAATTCGTACCTTGTCTAGTGGTCCATTGAAATAGCCTTGCACGCTGGAGTTTTCGATTTCCGTTAACATTTTTGCAGTCATGAATGCACTTAAGTGCGCCTCAGCTAGAATTGTATCTAGCAAATAGGTGGTTTTTATAGGAGGATTATAATTAAACATGTGGTTAGAAATGGAAACAAAATAATATGAACAATGCAAAACGATTATTCCGAAAACGGAACTTGGCCGTTTTGAAAACGCCTTCAAATGCGGCATGATACCTCACGCATTCCGGAGAGTTCAAATAGTTGTATCATTGCGCCGTATGAATGTGACGGATGATTTAAATGGAAATAGCCTTCATGCAGGCTCGCCACTTCCCATCTCGAGCCCTGGTGCCAGTTATAAGGTCCAGGCCCCAAGCACGGGGGGGGGGGGGGGGTCCGAAGGGCATCCCCCGAGAAATTTTAGAATTTATACGACTGATCGGACGCATTTGAAGCTTCCATAAAGAATTTTTCCATCAATTTCTGCGGAATAATTATGTTTTTTTTTTTTATTCTTTCAGCACAAAGTACTTGCGAATTGTTGCATTCAAAACATCCGGACAAATTTTATTTTTTTCTTGGGGAGAGGGCATATGATACTATTTTCAGTTCTATGAGGGCCAGGCCTCCCTGGACTCCCCCTTCGTTCGTCTATGGCAAGGGAGTTGAGCCATGAGCCATTGAAGTCGAGGATGCCCAGACTCGAGACTCTTAGCATCTGACGACGGAAAAAAATGAAACGCAGTTACCTACTAAAAATATCCCCCTGTACTGAAAATCTTGAAAAGACATTTTCCAGGAAGTATACTTCTTTGAAAATTTAAGAAGAATTCTACAGTGCCCCAGCGTGTTTTTGAAAATCTATTCACCTTTTGCGAAATTTTTAGGGTAAATTTTTCACTTTTTCTTACGAAACAAGGGTTGCATGTGAATTCGTGGTGGGTTTTCACGGGTAACACGGGCCCTCTCCAGGGCCCGGGTCCCGGTACCAGGGACCCAGTATCCCCCCCCCCTTGTGGTGGGCCTGCATGTAAAGATCATCATTATCGGTCCGGCAGTTCGTCAGAAATAGTGCTTCCAAGATTTTCCTTGTAGCTGTATAATATAGATAGTTTTAATGAATTAATGCTCATATTTACTATAAAAAAATCTTTAACTTTGCAACAATAAAAGCTGTTAATACTCTCTTAGCCTTATTTTTATTACCGCCCCACTACCCCCTAATACCCTTACCACCTCCCTGACAACCCTCCTCCTTTCCCTTAATTAGGTTATTTTTCGGTATTTAACGGCTTAAATGAAAAAAATGATTATGGGATACATATACATTATGATATATATACATACATTGACATATGCATTATGCATACATGACATATACATTATTATGATATACATATATAAAATGTCCGAGTAGAATTATTCAAAAAAATGCATAAGCCCCACGCAGAGCCCCCCTTCCACCACTCCCAAGATATATTATTTTCAACTCGTCCGAATTTCACTCCTGGTAAGATAACACTGTGCAACTAGACAAAAGGTAGAAAACGATCCTTGTTTAAATCGACACGTCGCGTCGCGGCGAGTTCGAAGATGACCCCCGTTTTTATGCATCGCCTTCGCGCACCGTCTATTTTTCCGGAAAAGCTGATGTCCATCGGAAAATGGACTTTGCGCTTTCGGTGTTTTTGCGGATATTTTCCTGTTCGAAATGCACGAACAAATGTATTTGTCTCCTTAGTGTACCAATTTCTGTGCATTGAGTTGCTAGAATCGAATATGACCTGACCGATTTTTCTTAAAACCTTTGAATTTTCCGGAAAAGCCGATCTTCCCGGCTACAAGAGGCGGGGAGGCGGTAATCAGCCATTTTTGTTCCAAATTTTAAAAAACTGAAATTTCTGGCGGTCTTTGATTGGTAGCTTTATGTTTAATTTGAGCCGCTAAATCTGAATAAGATTGCCGTATTTTCCCCCATGACTCTCAAGTTTAGCTTCTAGCTGAAAACTTCTCCCAACTGCTCCAAGCCCCCAACATTTTCTCAGAAAAATAGACTCTTTTTCTAAGAAGGTTCAGTGGAGACATTTTGCGTTTAATAAATCCTCCCAGAAAATTCTGTGATGTATTTTATATTAGTGTTATGGCAACGCTGTCTCCGAGTTACCTATGCTCAGGAGAGCGAGGATACAAGACACTCTTATGTGGACTGCATTTTGCAAAAAGGAACCAGAAGAATTGCAATGATGAAGATTTTGCATTTTCATCCTCTGCAATGAAGTTACTGAAACCATGAAATTATATGAAATTTACAGTTTTTAGCGAGTAAAATAGAGACTATTAATAGATAATCAGGTGTTTCTTCAAAGACAAAAGAAGTTGCTCAATCTTAGCAACATTTCTATGCTCCTGGTTCCTTTTTGCAAAATACAATCCATGCAGTGGTGTGGCGTGCTTTGCGATATTTCGATCAATCTACCATTTAAACTTATGGAAAAAATCGATTAACAGGGTGTTCGCGACGAACACCTTACTAATCGATCCTTTACCACAGCTTTAAATGGGGAAATATCGATAATCGAGTCATTCACGCCACGCCACTGAATCCATGTATTCTGATGTGTATGGTATTATTAAATTAGTAATATGGCAACGCTGTCTCCAAGTGAGCTCTGCTCACAGGAAGTTTCCCGCAACCCACGGTAGGTAGGTATGTACACAGTCAGCAACGGCGCGGCGGCATCGGGGAGACAGTTGCACATGCAGCAGTTCTTGAATAAAGTTTCCTCACGCATTCTGCATCTCCTCCGAACGCGTTTTGGCGTGCTCCTGCGTCGATTAAACCGAGAGATACCCGGACATTACGACCGTAAATTTTATCTCATATATCGACTGCTCGATATCATACCTATCCAACATCGTTTTTGAGAGTTGAGAATATAATAATGCTGTTTCGGC